CATACAATAATAATGGGAGACTTTAACACCCCACTGTCAACATTAGACAGATCAACGAGACAGAAAATTAACAAGGATATCCAGGAATTGAACTCAACTCTGCACCAAGCGGACCTAATAGACATCTACAGAACTCTCCACCCCAAATCAACAGAATATATATTTTTCTCAGCACCACATTACACTTATTCCAAAATTGACCACATAGTTGGAAGTAAAGCACTCATCAGCAAACGTAAAAGAACAGAAATCTTAACAAACTGTCTCTCAGACGACAGTGCAATCAAGCTAGAACTCAGGACTAAGAAACTCAATCAAAACCGCTCAACTACATGGAAACTGAGCAACCTGCTCCTGAATGACTACTGGGTACATAACGAAATGAAGGCAGAAATAAAGATGTTCTTTGAAACCAATGAGAACAAAGATACAACATACCAGAATCTCTGGGACACATTTAAAGCAATGTGTAGAGGGAAATTTATAGCACTAAATGCCCACAAGAGAAAGCAGGAAAGATCTAAAATTGACACCCTAACATCACGATGAAAAAGAACTACAGAAGCAGGAGCAAACACATTCAAAAGCTAGCAGAAGGCAAGAAATAACTAACATCAGAGCAGAACTGAAGGAGATAGAGACACAAAAAAACCCTCCAAAAATCAATGAATCCAGGAGCTGATTTTTTGAAAAGATCAACATAATTGATAGACCGCTAGCAAGACTACTAAGGAAGAAAAGAGAGAAGAATCAAACAGACGCAATAAAAAATGATAAAGGGGATATCACCACCGACCCCACAGAAATACAAAGTACCATCAGAGAACACTATAAACACCTCCACGCAAATAAACTAGAAAACTTAGAAGAAATGGATAATTTCCTGGACACTTACATCTCCCAAGACTAAACCAGGAAGAAGTTCAATCCCTGAATAGACCAATAGCAGGCTCTGAAATTGAGGCAATAATTAATAGCCTACCAACCAAAAAAAGTCCAGGACCAGATGGATTCACAGCCGAATTCTACCAGAGGTACAAGGAGGAGTTGGTACCATTCCTTCTGAAACTATTCCAATCAATAGAAAAAGAGGGAATCCTCCCTAACTCATTTCACGAGGCCAACATCATCCTGATACCAAAGCCTGACAGAGATACAACAAAAAAAGAGAATTTTAGACCAGTATCCCTGATGAACATCGATGCAAAAATCCTCAATAAAATACTGGCAAACTGAATCCAGCAGCACATCAGAAAGCTTATCCACCATGATCAAGTGGGCTTCATCCCTGGGATGCGAGGCTGGTTCAACATATGCAAATCAATAAACGTAATCCAGCATATAAATAGAACCAAAGACAAAAACCACATGATTATCTCAATAGATGCAGAAAAGGCCTTTGACAAAATTCAACAGCCCTTCATGCTAAAAACTCTCAATAAATTCGGTATTGATGGAACGTATCTCAAAATAATAAGAGCTATTTATGACAAACCCACAGCCAATATCATACTGAATGGACAAAAACTGGAAAAATTCCCTTTGAAAACTGGCACAAGACAGGGATGCCCTCTCTCACCACTCCTATTCAACATAGTGTTGGAAGTTCTGGCTAGGGCAATCAGGCAAGAGAAAGAAATAAAGGGTATTCAGTTAGGAAAAGAAGAAGTCAAATTGTCCCTGTTTGCAGATAACATGATTGTATATTTAGAAAACCCCATCGTCTCAGCCCCAAATCTCCTTAAGTTGATAAGCAACTTCAGCAAAGTCTCAGAATACAAAATCAATGTGCAAAAATCACAAGCATTCTTATACACCAGTAACAGACAAACAGAGAGCCAAATCATGGATGAACTCCCATTCACAATACCTTCAAAGAGAATCAAATACCTAGGAATCCAACTTACAAGGGATGTAAAGGACCTCTTCAAGGAGAACTACAAACCACTGCTCAGTGAAATAAAAGAGGACACAAACAAATGGAAGAACATACTATGCTCATGGATAGGAAGAATCAACATTGTGAAAATGGCCATACTGCCCAAGGTAATTTATAGATTCAATGCCATCCCCATTAAGCTACCAATGAGTTTCTTCACAGAATTGGAAAAAACTGCTTAAAGTTCATATGGAACCATAAAAGACCCCGCATTGCCAAGACAATCCTAAGCCAAAAGAACAAAGCTATACCACAAGGCTACAGTAACCAAAACAGCATGGTACTGGTACCAAAACAGAGATATAGACCAATGGAACAGAACAGAGCCCTCAGAAATAATACCACACATCTACAGCCATCTGATCTTTGACAAACCTGACAAAAACAAGAAATGGGGAAAGGGTTCCCTATTTAATAAATGGTGCTGGGAAAATTGGCTAACCATAAGTGGAAAGCTGAAACTGGATCCTTCCTTTACTCCTTATATGAAAATTAATTCAAGATGGATTAGAAACTTAAATGTTAGACCTAAAAGCATAAAAACCCTAGAGGAAAACCTAGGTAATACCATTCAGGACATAAGCATGGGCAAGGACTTCATGTCTAAAACACTAAAAGCAACAGCAACAAAAGCCAAAATTGACAAATGTGATCTAATTAAACTAAAGAGCTTCTGCACAGCAAAAGAAACTACCGTTAGAGTGAACAGGCAACCTACAGAATGGGAGAAAATTTTTGCAATCTACTCATCTGACAAAGGGCTAATACCCAGAACCTATAAATAACTCAATGAAATTTACAAGAAATAAACAAACAACCCCATCAAAAAGTGGGCAAAGGATATGAACAGACACCTCTCAAAAGAAGACATTCATACAGCCAACAGACACATGAAAAAATGCTCATCATCACTCGCCATCAGAGAAATGCAAATCAAAACCACAATGAGATACCACCTCACACCAGTTAGAATGGCAATCATTAAAAAATCAGGAAACAACAGGTGCTGGAGAGGATGTGGAGAAATAGGAACACTTTTACACTGTTGGTGGGACTGTAAACTAGTTCAACCATTGTGGAAAACAGTGTGGTGATTCCTCAAGGATCTAGAACTAGAAATACCATTCAACCCAGCCATCCCATTACTGGGGATATACCCAAAGGATTATAAGTCATGCTGCTATAAAGACACATGCACACGTATGTTTATTGAGGCACTATTCACAATAGCAAAGACTTGGAATCAACCCAAATGTCCATCAGTGACAGACTGGATGAAGAAAATGTGGCACATATACACCATGGAACACTATGCAGCCATAAAAAAGGATGAGTTCATGTCCTTTGTAGGGACATGAATGCAGCTGGAAACCATCATTCTCAGCAAACTATCGCAAGAACAGAAAACCAAATACCGCATGTTCTCACTCATAGGTGGGAATTGAACAATGACATCACTTGGACAGAAGAAGGGGATCATCACACACCGGGTCCTATTGTTGGGGGGAGGGAGGGATAGCATTAGGACATATACCTAATGTAAATGACGAGTTAACGGGTGCAGCACACCAACATGGCCCATGTATACATATATAACAAACCTGCACATTGTGCACATGTACCCTAGAACTTAAAGTATAATTAAAAAAATAAATAAATAAAATAAGTGCTCAATAAAATGACATCATCATAATAAAAAAACAAAAACAAACAAACAAAAAAACAAAGCCCAGTCATTCCAGTGGGCCTGGATCACAGTGTATGAGGGTGGGGTGGGAGGTAAGAAGTATTATAATGCTCACCCCAGCACTTGGACTTTATTCTATGAGCAATGGAGACCAACAGACACTTTTGTCCTGCTGAATTTGAAAGGTTAGGGTGTAAAATTGAGATGTGCAGGTAGCAGTAATAGATTGGAGGCTGCTCATCAAGTGAACAACTGTGACTATTATATTTAATTAACTCTGTTCTTCACATGCAACTGGCTGTCCCCACATGACCTCCCACAAAGCCCTCTTACGGCTTCTTGTCTCACCACCCAGCAAAGGTTTCCAAGTATTCAGCCCTGACCTGGTCTCCTTCATAATTTTCACTTTCATATCCTACACGGCCTGAGGAACATCTGTGCCTTGTGGAGACAGAACTGATAGGTTAAGAGGATGTTGTGAATGTTGTGTGGTATTTTGCAGCAAAACATTTGACACAGCCTCACAACTGACTGCACAGGAGGGACATAGGTTGTTACAGCTGTTTATCATCTGTGCATTCATCACTCTTTCATAAGGGCTATCAAAATATCAGACATCCTGCTTGGCACTGAGGAGTCAAGATGTATAAGACACAATTACTGTCTTGGATCAACTCCCAAGTAGCTCTGCTATAGGCTGGAACAGTAGGTTGATGATGATTCCAAGGTACTTTACTGAGAGTTAGGTTAAAGCCCTGGATGGTGGTCCCTAAATAGCTGTGATCTCTAGATCCCAGAAGGGGATTCAGATGAAATTCTGCTAAGGAAAGGTGATTTTCTCTGGTTGAAGTAGGGGTGTGTTCAGGGAACTTGGTCTTTTGGAAGAGACTCTTCCAGGAAATATCTCATGCTCCACAGAGCCCAGCATGACATTTTATGGCTAGGACCATGGAATAGAATGGTGGTTCTAGCCAGATGTGTGTGCATCAGAATTACAGGGGAATTTTTACATAACATCCATCTATAGGTCTTAGCTTCTAGAGACAAAACAGTCCCAGGTGGAACCTGGGCATGTATATTTTGATTTTTTTATGCATACTCCTAGTGAAGAACCAATGTCTTGCTCGGGTGGAAGCAAGATATTCACTTATTTTCTCTGTAGCTCCTGCTTTTTATTATTCCTAGTTGAACTGCACCACTACTCAGTTTCCATTTTATAATACTGATTATAAAACATGGAGGGAAATAACTCTTTGTATTGAAATTAAAAGTTTTTATGGATAATTAACTATGTGTCCTAGACCCTGGGCTTGTCAAAAGAAGGACGTAAGAAGGCACTATGTATTATACTTGGGAATGATAGAAGAGACTGACCTGGTATTTCCACCCGGAAGAGGGAAAGGATTTTAATTACAAATACAGGAATCCAGCAGATGGCATCAGAGAACACTATAAAAAAGAAACGATTTGCAACAGCCACCTCTCTTCCAAAATGATTCCTTACTTCTGTGGTCTGCAAGGCGGTTTTTTGAATGGAACAGAACATAGTAATATAGGAAAACACAATGATGAGAAAAGCCAGCAAGTTCACACCTGTTGGGAAAAGCACACTTTTAACATCTCAGGCATAAAAGTCAACAGTAAAATTACTGTGGTACAGGTTGAGTATCCCTTATCAAAAATGTTTGAAACCAGAAATGTTTTGGATTTTGGATTTTGGAATATTTGCACATTCATAATGATGTATCTTGGAAATGGTTCCCGAGTCTAAACACAAAATTTATTTATGTTTCATATACATCTTATATACATAGTCTGAAAGTAATTTTGTACAATATTTTAAATAATTTTGTGCATGAAACAAAGTTTGTATACTTTGAACCATCAGAAAGCAAAAGCTTCAGGTGTTGAATTTTTCCACTTGTGGCATCATGTTGACACTCAAAACGTTCCATATTTTAGAGCATTTCAAAGTTTGGATTTTCAGTTACAAATGCTTAACCTGTACTTAGATGTTAAATACAGTGCCTCTTCCACAGGCCCTGCTGGGAAGCCTTCTTTTATATAAGCCCTGTGGTATTAGGTAAAACCCAGGTTCAAGGAAATAAAAACAAAGACATTGGGTTGGCCAGATGAAAAAGAGATTTCAAATACATAAACCCTTATGAGGAATTATAGACTACTAAAATTCAGATCTAGGCGTATCATGAAGTAAACTCTAGCTCTCTTAAAGCATGAACAGAAGCTATTTTTGTTTTTAGCTCTCTGCAAATTCAAACCTTAAGGGATTGATGTAATCTTACGCACGTCTCAAAAAATCAAAACAACCCCACTTTATTATCCTATAAACATAAATAATAAGAGAATAAAAATAATTTTAAAAAATGAATAAAATAACCTTGGAATTTATCATGAATATAATTGTCTGAGAAACATTATTCCTAATGTTTTTGGTCTTAAGAATAATGCATAGAACAAAAATGTATTTTTGTTTATTTTTCTTCATGTTTCTTACAGTAATTTAAACTACTGTGGTTCGGAAACTTTAGACTAATTTTATAATAAACAATAAGAAAAAAGTTTAAAATTCAGCTATGTGAATTACTCTTTTGAGCCCAAATGTATGCACAAGATTCCCACCCAACATCACTGTTCCCTTTCATTCTGACTTCTTAGTGACTCGGGTTTGCTTTATTCTTGCTGTCGCTGAAATCCTGAGTGATCATCTCATTTCTCACAGTGAACATAAGACTTGCATATATTTTCAAAGTTGTTAAAAAATATGAATCTGAACCTAGACTGTATGTAAGATTGGTGAAGTCTAGAGTAAAAATACTTTAAATTCAAGGTGATCTGTTATTTTTATCCAAATCATTTCATATTCAATGAAATCGCAGTATAAAGCCATACGGTAAAATTTTATAAAACTGGTTTGTCTTAGGCCTCTTTTCAAAAAATTTTGTTAAGCGTAAAAAATAATCACTCTCTTAGAAGATGCTCCCCTGCCCTAAATTCTGATAGCAGACTTACAGAAAGGATCAAAACTGTATGTTCTAGGCTGGGCGTGGTGGCTCACACCTATAATCCCAGCACTTTGGGAAGCCAAGGTGGGCGGATTGCTTAAGGTCAGGAGTTTGAGACCAGCCTGGCCAACATGGTGAAACTTGGACTCCACTAAAAATACAAAAATTAGCTGGGCATAGTGGTGGGCACCTGTAATCCCAGCTACTTGGGAGTCTGAGGCGAGAGCATTGCTTGAACCCAGGAGACGGAGGTTGCAGTGAGCCGAGATGGCACCACTGCACTCCAGCCTGGGAGACAGGGTGAGAGTGTCTCAAAAAAAAAAAAAAAGTGTATGCTCTGAATGCACGATAGTAATATAAGAAATATGTTAACAATAGGGGAAACCTGATGGGGCATATGTGGAAAATTGTACTATCACTGCACCTTTCCTAAAATGAAAACTATTTTCAAATAAAAAATTAATTAAAAATTATATATTCTTATATTCTTCAAACAGAAAAAAAAAATTGTACTTTAGAGCTCTAGGACTCTTCCTCTCATATACAAATTGATGATGATGATTTTGTGTGTGTGTGTGTGTATGTGTGTGTGTGTTTGTGACTATCTCTTTATCTATCTGGAATATATCCCAGATACTTAACCCCTTTGGGCCGAGCTCCATGCCCGCATGGTATGCTCCACCAAAATGAGTTTCTTCAGCCCTTCATCTTACTCTGTTTCCTGGCTTTGGGCCTGGGAATCCACTATGTGTTCCTGGAACACAGACCCCACCTCACCCTCCTCTGCCTTCACTTGGCTAATGCCTCCTCTTCCTTTGGGCCTCAGTTTGAATTCATTTCTTTTGGGAAGCCTTCCCTGTTCCTCAGATCTGGGGCTCCTAGAACATTCTGTACTCTTCCGTCATGGCATTTATCAGCCTGTGTGTGATGTGAGAACGTGTTGACTTGTCTGCCTCCTCCTCTGTGGTCTGTAAGGCCTTTGAGGCTGGATCTGTTGTATCTCCAGTACCCAATATAGTATATAGTTCACAGCCTATAGTAAGTGCTGAATAAATGCCTGTTGAAACAATGCATGTCATGGTGTGTGTGTGTGTGTGTGTGTGTGTGTGTGTGTGTGTGTGGTGTGTTTCAGGGAGAGTCTCTATTAAGGGCACCTATGTTAGGAGTAATGAGGAAATGAATGATAAGGAAATACAAAGAACAGCCTATAATACTCTGGATCCTGGGAATGACATATCTATAACCAAATAACTACCAAATAGGGTAGTGTGTGATGGGTATTACTAAAATGGTGTAAACTAAATATTTTGTTTTTCAGAGGAGGAAGAGGAGTAGATGGAGAAGAACTGGGCATGATGGTTAGGGTCATGTCATGAGGAGTTCTAAGTGACTAATTTAAACTTGACCTTGATAGTACTAGGGAGTCATTGAAGGTCTCTGAGTGGAGGTGTACACAGTCCTTTTGCTAGAGAATATAACAATGGTAGTGAATAGATAAATGAGAGGAAGGGGAAGACCCCAGAGGTTATGAGACCAGTAAGGGCTAAGGTAATAATTCAGGGTTGAGGTAGTAAGGTGTCTAACTAAGGCAATAGCAGTGGGTAGAGACTGGAAGGAACAGCAGCAAAAGCAAATTTTGAAGAAAAAGAAAGGACAGGAGAGCTTGTTGGTTCCTTGGATGGGAAGAAAAGATTAGGAGAGTCAAAAGAAGATCACCCCAAAGAGAGGACATGGGAAAAGCCTTAATTTTAAGCAGGAGGGACACATATTAGAAAATAGAAAAATAGTGTTTTTAACTTTAAAGGGCTAAACTTGTCTTTCATTTATAAAGAACACAGGATCTTCTTTTCCAAATATTAGGAGGAACTGAGAGAACTGGAAAGAAAATAGCTTTATTAAGCATCCTTACATTGCTGACTCAAGAGCAGCATTTAACAAAGGCAATAAACCTTCCTGGTATTTCCATTCAGGTATCTCTTACTTGTTAGTTTCCTGAGTTTTATTATTATTTATTTAACTCATAACTAGATTGTAAAAAAAGAGTTTAAATAACTTGGTAGGTTTATAGGACGAGGCACTAAACTGGAATTCCTCCAGCTTATAGTCATTTCATATAAACATGAAATCAGAGGATCTTATGGATAATAAAAAGATAATCCAGAGATCCTGGTAGTATGTCTTTATTTTCCACACTAAATATTGTCTAATAAAAAGTTTAATAAAAACGTCAATAAATGCAATAGTAAAAACTTTTTTTTAAAGAAGGACACAGTCTTGACTGTATTACCTCACTTTCTGAAACAAATCCACCTTTGCTGAAATTTAAAGTATTTCTAGCAAAATTATGTTTTTCCAGGAAATGAAAAAATATAATTTACCTAGAAAAATTCCAAGAGAATACCCTTTACTTCCAACATCTTCTGTTTGGTCATAATAAAGTGGGAAACATACTCCATTTTTCCCATAAAAGTTTCCAAAATACTCCTCATTCCAAAATGGAATTACAGCTATTAAAAATCCTGCCATCCAGATGCAAATGAGGATGACTGAGGTCTGCCGTTTTCCAGGCCGAATGTTATTGAAGGGGAAGACAATGACCAGGAACTTCTCCAAAGTCAAGTAGGTCAGTAGCAGGACAGAGACTTCGGTGGACAGCATGGCCAGGAACCCCATGAGGCGGCACTGCACGCTCTCCATCCACAGCAAGGCATACTTCTGATACTGCCCTCGGTATTTTAGATCAAAAAAGCCAACAAAGAACAAGTAAACACCCATCAGGCAGTCAGCACCTGTGAAAGAATCGAAACAGTGTATGTCATCAGTTTCCAATGCCTCTGTTTTAGTTTTCTGATTAAGTCTATTTCCAGCATTTTAATTGTCTAATTAGATCTAGTTCCCTTCATCTGATATCAAATGAACTAATGTAAACATCTACCAGAGTACCAAGAAGCTAGTGGACTTAAAAATCTGTCATATTTCTAAAGTACTACACTATGTTTTTATTTTGTAGTTTAAAAAAATGGGAACAGGAGTTTTCTGGAAGGAGGAAGGACTAGTTGTTAAACAGTTAACGTATATTATCTTCATAGTTAATAAAGGGAATAATTTTCTGGGCTTAATGAGCATAGGTATCATTGTAATTGAAGTTGACCTTAGTTTTATCACCCACAAAACTTTATAATCTGTCACTTGACTCATTGGTTCCCTATTAGCGCATTCCCAAGACATATTCCTGAGAGCAGGCCACTGTAAGGTCGTGCAACCTAAAAAAAGCCACAAAGGGCCAGAACTTTTATATTTAGAAAAAAAATGTGCCCAGGATGTATAATTCACATTAAATGCCATTTGTTGAAAGCCAATAAATGTGTGTGTGCGTATATATATATATATCATACACACGTCTAGCGCACAGCTCACAGAAGATACCCTAAATCTACCTATATTGGAAACATACTTACAACAAAGGATTTTGATGGACATAGCGTGAGTTGTATTTTCAGCTTTAATGAAAGATCTCATGCCAATGACAAAAAGATTTCCAAAGCAGGTAATGAAAGCTATAACCCAGACAAATATTCTGAGGATATTGTTAGCCAAGAGGTCCTCAAATGAAGAAATGCCGTCCGTCAAGGGCATACATATTCGGACATGGGGAGCATAGGAGCAGTATCGAAAGTTTTTGAAATAACTAAAGTCAAAGGGAAAAAAAGTGTCACTTTGCAGCAATGATACAGAAACTACAGTTGCAATCCTATCGGGGCTGCAACTCCATGCTAGGTATACAACTTCACTAGGTTTGTTTATTTTTGTTTAGTAGTGTTTATGTAATTAAAGAGTTCTTCATGAAATACGAGGCAGTATCCTTTTAAAGATGAGGAACCTAAAGGACATGGGAATTCAGTAACTTGGATGAGGAGAGTTCAGGAGGACATGAAAATTTGAAATCTCAGGGGCTCTGTGTTCCCTGGTCACATTGGTTTATTGATTATTCTGTAAGGTATTATGAAAAGTGGATTATCATTGTCAAAGTGATCTCCAGCAAACTTTCAGGGGCTTGGGCTTGGGATGGGAAAAGCCTGTTGTCACTCACCTAGAACATTTCTGTCTTGTCCTGAGTTTTAAACACCAAGGTCTACTCACTTTAACTAGCCCCCTCTTCCCTGACACTGGCAGGAAGGGAAGACCTCTGACACTAGGAAAATGCATTCTCACTGAATCTGGGAAGAGAAGCAGCTGCCTTAAACACAGATTTCTTACGAGGGTCTGGAAGGACTTAATTTCTATGGGAAAATAAGTTTGTTTGTGGTCAGTGGAGTTGGGATCTGGGCACAAGGCATCTGGAAGTGCTGGAATTGGTGAGGTCATTTGGCTGTCGCCGTCCCTCAAACCTGTGTGTTTAGAATTTTCTCTCATAAAACTTATTCTATTTTTATTTGTTTGCTCCTTCTTTCAGTTCACTTTTCTGCTCTTTACTGTCAGTCTAATTCATTTTTTTTGTCATTTCTCAATTCAGTTTCTAGACCAAGGCGGCCTAGCGTCAGACCGCTGGCTGCCTGCACCACCTCGCCTCTTACCCTGCAATGCTTACTCCACCCAGACACACACCCTCAGACAAGCCATGCTCATGCTGTACTCAGAGCTTTGCTTTTGCTTAAGCCCCTGCCTGGAAGATTCTTCCCCTGGATACTGCCAGGGCTGCTTTCTACCTCCGCTCAGGTCTGCTCAAAAGTCACCTCATTCCAACTTCCTTCCACCCCACCTCAGTGGTAATCCTCAGTCCTCCTTCTATTCCTTACATTGCTTTATTTAAATTTGTAGCACTTATTGACTATTTACTCGCTTGCTCCTTTACTCTCTGGTTCCCAAAGCTAAATGGAAGCTCTCAGGCACAGACATCCTCTCTTTTGTTCATCATTGTGTCCCTGGTGTCTAAAGCAGTGCCTGGCACATGTGGGTACTCAACAAATACTTCTTGGATCAGCAAGTGGATGATGAATAATTTAGCACTAGGTGTGTCAGGAAGAGAAACAGGAGGCAATTCTTGCCTTCAAGTAGCTTACAATTCAGCTTCCTAATATCTGGCATCCAATTAAAGGAACCTGACCTATAACAAACTCTCTTTTCTTCTCCTTCCCTGGAGTTCCTGGCACACACTTGGCTTGACTTCTTGGTCCTTTTAGGATTCCATTATGTCTGCTATCTTCAGATAGGTTCAGGGCCACCTTGCGCTGTGACCACACTACTTGTTGCCAGGTGAAAGGGATGGGGGTGACGAGGTGGGGATGTTTCAATAAATAAAGGACAAGGAATATGAAAGCAAAGTAAGTAGGTTACTTAGTAGGGAAGTAACTTAGCTAATGTGTTTTCTCTTAATTGTTGAGCCCTTCTTGACCTTGGCCTGAGGTCTATATTTAACACAGCAGTTTCTCCATCAAGTTCTAAATAGGTTGCATTTCTCTATTCTAAGAAGACCTCATATTCTGCCTACAACAAGGAAATGATATCCTCATTAAATATTTATCTAATAGTGCCACAAAAGAAAAAGAACAAAACCATGTGGAAATGCATCAAACACTTGTCTTTTAGTAATCACACCTACTGCACAGACATAAACAAAATGTTCTCCCAAAAGAGCACCTTCACAGCAACCATTTCATCCACTTGCTGCACCCAACTTGTAATCTTACATTGAATCCTCCCTATTTTTGTAGATAACAGTGGTTAATTTTTGAAATCATGAACACACAGATTACACAGTTGATAAAGAAATAATTATGAACACATATATTCACACAACTTACACAGTGCACTTTAGCCAAATATACTAAAGTGACTTATCAAAAACTACTATAAAGATTAATTACCTCCATTTTGTAGTGCACTTAGTAACAGTAACAACACCTGGAATTTATATAGCACCTTTCTTCCTAAGGGCTCAAATCTTAGAGCAGCCGACTGCTCATTCATGTGAGGTGAATTAATGTTTCCAGGTCGCCTGAGTACCATTTAGCCAGTGACTTCATCTTGTGTAATATGTGGCATTCTGGTACCCTGATCTCTTATTGGACCTCAATTGGATAAACAGCGTGTTTCCAGAGAGAAGGGTCATTCATGTCGGCACATCATAATATTGAACTCTATTTGAACAGGGACCAAAGGTGACAAAATTAAAAAGTTCTCAATAAAACGACTTTTGTTGCATAGAAACACATTGCAGTGATACATTAGACAGTTTACAGGAGATAATTTGAAACATTTTACCATGCTTCCTCCTCCATTTTTTATACATACATACATGTGAGAAAGATTCTTCATGGGTTGAAACATTCGTGTGTTTATATTTGGAATCTCTATCCTTTCCAGGTCTCTGGAAAATACACACAATAGGTTTAATGGTGTTGAGCTGAAATGCTTTAATAATCGCATTCTTCATCATATCCGAAAAATAATGCTTCAAGATCTTATGTTACCAAGGCAAATGAGGATGAAAGTTTTACAGTACACTGTCTTAGAAAATGGCTATTTCTATTTATGCCTCCTGTAGTTTGGTACTGATTGTGTCACTTCACATGCAGAATTATGTTCTTATACAACACATTCATTCATTTCTTTGATTTAAGGATGACAGTGGTGATTTGTGTGATTATGACGTTGGCTCTTTAGTTTGATTTTATTAATATAAGTAATGCCATAGGAATTAGAGGGTTTCATTCAGGAGATGATATTTCCAACCTGAGAGTGTCACTGAAGTGAGTTTTGTGAGAATCTGGATTTAAATATGATCATTTCTTCCTGGCCTATGTGTCTTTAGGATGGAAAACCATGAAGATAGCAAGAGGAACTCCAATTCAGAAGTTTGCTAAGACACCAGTGGTATGTCTTAGAATTCCTTTAATTAAATTTAAGTTAAATTTAATTAAATTCCTTTAAATCCTTCAGGCCCCATAAAATGTCCTCAAAGGGATCCAAGGATCACTTCTGTTCTCTTAGTTGACCTCAATGCTTGCTGCTACAAGTGTGGACCCTTTGAAGATCTCTTTAGGGTGGTATGAATTAAGAGCTACCATGTTCTCAGGAAGCAGCTGGAGAGAGGACAATCTAAAAAGACAGAGGCCTTTTGCTTTTAATGTTTGTTTTAAAATATGTCTGATTCTCACTTGGTTTCTTTTTAACTAATCCGAATAAGGATTTCTCAACATGGTTCTGAGTTTTCCTTTGCCCAAGGAGTCCTTGCTTTTTGGAAGTCAGAAACGAAATCTGGGAGAGCTGTTATACGACTGAGTAATTGCATGGCCCCTCTAGCAGGAGACTCTAAGCCCTTTCTAAAGGTTTAATTTTCCTTCTTCTTCTTTTTTTTTTTCCCCTCTCTGGCTTTCTCCTTGACTTATACAGTTTTAGCTTTATGTGGATTCTGTGATTATTTGATTAATAACCTGTAACATCCTAAAGAGCAGAGGCCACTGTACCCCGAGTGCTAAGACAGTGCTTTTTGTAAGTCGATGGCTAAGACATGTTTGTGAAATAAATGGGTAAATGAATCTTAGGTAAAAAAAAGAAAGAACGGGCAGGTGCGGTGGCTCACGCCTGTAATCCTAGCACTTTGGGAGGCCGAGGCAGGTGGATTGCCTGAGCTCAGGAGCTTGAGACTAGCCTGGGCAACACAATGAAACCCTGTCTCTACTAAAATACAAAAAAAAGTAGCCTGGCATGGCGGCGTTTGCCTGTAATCCCAGCTACTTGGGAGACTGAGGCAGGAGAATCGCTTGAACCTGGGAAGGGAAGGTCAAGCTTGCGCCATTGCACTCCTGCCTGACAGGGCAAGACTCTGTCTCAAAAAAAAAAAAAAAAAAAGACCCTAAAGAAAAAAAGTAGAAATGAATAAAGAAACGAAGTAGAAATGAAGTTAAAAAGGTATGTAATAAATAGTTGCTACTTTGACTTTCAGGAAGGCATTATGTAGTGACTTGGTATTTTGGCTTTCAGAAATGCAGTATGTGGTAAGTAAAGGGAAGAATCATGCTGTCCACATCCTCAGGTCTGTCCTTATATTTTAAAAAATAAACATATATGTTTAATATTATGGCTTCTTAAGAATAGGAACCAGATCTTTTTCATCAGTGGATGCTCACTAATATCTGCTGAGAGAGAAACCTAAATCTTGCATTAATTTCAGATAGAAAACTAGCAAGAATAAAAGATGATATTAAGAATTGGTCTTTGGACATAAAGGAAGAAATACTTTTGGCTGCAGTCAGGCAATGTAGTCTGCTGTCTGTGTGAAAACAAACAACCTTTAGCCAGCAATTACCATCCATTGGAAAGAAATCATGAAGTTCAAAGGAAAAGTGGCAGAGTTCTTGACACCATTGAAACTTAATATGGTAGAAATGTAGCTGGGCATGGTGGCTCAAGCCTGTAATCCCAGCACTTTGGGAGGCCGAGATGGGCAGATCATGAGGTCAGGAGATCGAGACCATCCTGGCTAACACGGTGAAACCCTGTCTCTACTAAAAAAATACAAAAAAACAACTAGTTGGGCATGGTGGCGGGCGCTTGTAGTCCCCGCTACTTGGGAGGCTGAGGCAGGAGAATGGTGTGAACCCGGGAGGCGGAGCTTGCAGTGAGCTGAGATCCGGCCACTGCACTCCAGCCTGGGCAACAGAGCAAGACTCTGTCTCAAAAAAAATAAATAAATAAAATAAAAAAGAAATGTAAAAATACTGTACATAATTTTCTGAATGTTCATATTTGCGGGATAGCTTTTTAAAAACTTATTTAAAAGTAAAACAATGCACTGTAGACTAATATCAAGTAGATTCTTGTAGGAAAGGGCAAAGGGGAAAAGCAGGCAAGTCTTACATAATCTGTTTTAACCAAACTTTTAGAAACAAAACTATTGCAAGTTTAATTCTTTGTGAAAACTGTAGAAAGAGATTTTGCCACATGAACCCAGTTTTCAAGAAGGACATTCTTGAAAACTTCCTCAAGTACAGAAATGGACTTCATACATGTTGAATGGTAAATAATGAGTCTTATTTGTCATTCAGTATGTACTTGATGGGATCAGTGACATTCACAATTGTCTGAAATGCATGCTTCTATGTGCAAAATGCCCATTTAAAAATAAATGTGTCTCTAAGTACATCCACTAAAATTATAATCAATATAATTGTAATATTTCACTTACAGAGACTGAAGTTGTTTAAGACTTTCAAACTGGTTCTTGTGAAGATACATAAGAGGATTGGATGACAGGTTCCTTTTTTTTTTTTTACCATTAGATGAGAGAGGAAAAGAAGTTTGAAGGTATTATTATTTCGGAAGCTCAAAATGTTGCCCTTTAAACCTGATTATGATGATAAGTAGAACTTACAGTTTTTGTAGAAGCTTCAAGTCTTTAAAAAGGTGAGGTGATAGCTCCATTATCATATTGCCAGACAGATCCCTGTTGACGACAGTGAAAACCCAAAGCAATTACTTTGGAAGAAAATGACAGACTTATTACTCCTCACAATTATCGTCATCCCTTTTGATGTAACAGAAAATATGAATCCAATTTAACCAACCTGATAACTTGTTACACAACAGGGCCGTTATGAGTCAGCCAAATGGATACGGTTTCCAACACTTACAGACATGCAACATTTTGCTCATCCAGTTCCCATCTGGAATTTCCTTTTTACCCTGTCTCCAACACATTCCCAGCCTGGCTTTCATATCTGCTTTGGTTAATTTCCCCTGCTCTAGGTATTCTTTGTACACTTCTACTCTTCATGCTTCTGTGATTGCTACTTGCTTCATATACATGGTCTCTTGTTTATCCAACTACGCTTTTCAAGGTCAAGTCTTGCATCTTTAATTTATTTTGCATTCCAACCAAGACAATTTTGTCCACTCAGCATCTGCCCAGATAATCTAGAGTAAGTTCACACACTTTTAATATGTTCTTATACAGGACTATTTTTGCAGAAGAAATTGCGAGTTTAGAATTAAATATAATAGGATTGTCCAATCCAGACAGAATCCTAAGAAAGTGACTCTATAAAATGTGGAAAAGAGACCTGTTAAAATCAGAAGAAATGAATCTTTAAGAGTCCAGAGTATTTTTCTGAGCCAGAGAAGGTGTTAAAGATAAAACAGATATACAGTTGCCTAAGAGTCAAACAAAAATGATCTCTTTTGGTATTCTGGAACTGCTGATGTATATGTGGGAGTTACAAATAACTACGACTTAGCTCTTTCTGTAAAGAAGCTTCCATTTAGAGTAGCAACTAGATAAAAACAAGGAAAGAATCAAACAGGTGCTGTTATAGAGGTGCAGAGAAAACATAGAGGAAAGAGTCATCGATCTTGGCCTGGGACATTAGGAAGTGTTTGAAGAAAGCTTGATGATTTTAGGTGGGGTAAAGTAAGAACACCTTCTCAGGTGGGTGTAAAAAATGATCTGAAGCACAGATGCTTGGAATTCAGTGACACTTTCAGGAGTCAGGAAGTGATCCAACATGAGTAGAGGATGGAAGATGTAGGGAGAGGTAGAGGACGTCATGGAGAGTACGTGGAGACAAGATGGGAAGGCCAGGCCGGGCGCGGTGGCTCAAGCCTGTAATCCCAGCACTTTGGGAGGCCGAGATGGGTGGATCACGAGGTCAGGAGATCAAGACCATCCTGGCTAACACGGTGAAACCCCGTCTCTACTAAAAAATACAAAAAACTAGCCGGGCGAGGTGGCAGGCGCCTGTAGTCCCAGCTACTGGGGAGGCTGAGGCAGGAGAATGGCGTGAACCCGGGAGGCGGAGCTTGCAGTGAGCTGAGATCCGGCCACTGCACTCCAGCCTGGGCGACAGAGCGAGACTCCGTCTCAAAAAAAAAAAAAAAAAAAAAAAAAAAAAAAAAAAGATGGGAAGGCCATGCATGCACTTCAAGGCAGTAGTTTTCACAGCACAGTCCAAGCATCCAAGTCCCCAAGGATGCTTATGAAAAGAGCACATCGCCAGGGCCCACCCCAGAGCTATCACATCAGACTTTCTGGGAGGGAGCCAAGTAACAAGCCAACATCCCATGTGATTCTTCGGCACATTAATGTTTGAGAACTGTGTCAAGGACTTTGCTAAATGCCAGGCAACAAGGAGTGAGAACATTAACTAGGGCAATGGCATCATTTGCTCCGGGTTATGGAATGATTATTCTGTCAGAAGCATGAAGGACAGGCAACAAGGCCTGGGAGTTAGGGCAGGAAGACCAGGCAGGAACTTCTAGATGGACCAGGTGAGAGCAAATGAGGGTTGAGGGGGACAGCAGCAGGGCTCAGGGTCTGGCTGAACACGTGTTAAGAGAAAGCTGGAGGGAAATGGAATGGTCTTCAAGCCTGGCTGCCAGGAAGGAGGCACTGAGATGGCAAGTCCAGGTGAAGAAGATGGCCATCGGGTTGGGGTCTCTTGTTTGTTTTGTTTCAAACGGGTTGCTTTTGAGGTGCTGTCATGACACCAAAGTCTGAGGTCCTGCCAAGTGAGATGTCTCATCTGGTCTTCCAGATAAGAGGAGCACACCTAGATCACAGCCCAGAAGGGAGACCACAGGTGCGCCCAGGCCAGAGAGAGCCTGACAATAAAGCAATATGATGATGATCTCATACACCTAGAAAATGCCTTTCAAAGGGTTACCCAGAAAAATAAAGCACACTCTTTTGGAGGAAAGGACTTCAGGGGCCTCAAGTACTTGTGCTTATTCCTCCCTTATGGGTTTGTTGTCATGAAGGCACAGTAAAATTATTTAACATTTGTAAACTCAAGACATATGAATGCCTTGTTCAAGTTAAGCCTACCAGCTTCTGAATTTCTTTTAGCTTTCTGAGGCTAAGTGAATTGCAATGGATCTCTATAGATCTTAATAGCAAGCTGGCATCTCTTAAGTGGGCTCTTATTTTTGCTGTGCCTCTGCCTATATGTAGGATGAGAAGAGGGTTAGAAAAAGTTTAAAAATATGGGCTCTGTACCACTGTTTCCTTAAGTTTATATATAAAATACCCGTCTGGGTCAGGCATGGTGGCTCATGCTTGTAATCCTAACAGTTTGGGAGGCCAAGGCAGGTGGATCACTTGAGGCTAGGAGTTCAAGACCAGCCTGGCCAACATGGTGAAACCCTGTCTTTACTAAAAATACAAAAATAAAAAATAACAAATTAGCCGGGCGTGGTGGCGGGTGCCTGGAATCTCAGCTACTCAGGAGGCTGAGGCAGGAGGATCACTTGAACCCACGAGGCAGAGGTTGCAGTGAATGGAGATCGCACTATTGCACTCCAGCCTAGGCGACAAGAGCAAAAAACTCCATCTCAAAACAAAACAAAACAAACAACAAACCCCTCTGTTTGTACTGGGTTATTCCTCCACCCCACCGTGCAACCCAAGTCCACAGTCACCCTCCACAGCCTGGGAAGGAATGCTGTGAGAGGAAGTCTTTTCCAGGTGAGATGCCTTTACGTTTTTGCCATAAAATGACCATACTTTCAGTTCTTTCAGTTCTAACGCAGTACCTTGCACATACCAGGCACTTCATAAATATGTGTGGATTTGATTTATGATTCTCATTAATTACATTGAGTTACCTTAATTATTCATGAGTTATTTTTAGATTACTGCTATTGAGTTATTTTCTCTAGTCCTTTCTGGATTTCAAAATAGTGTGTAAAGAATGGGGAAAGGTTAATTCAGAAACTAATTTCCATTTTAAGGCCTCAATCAGAAACATGAGTTTTCAATCCTAATCACTGCTATGTGCATTGTAAGAGACTTAATTTTAACTTCCATTGATACACAATTATGTGGGGAGCAATGAGTTAATAGCAAGATAAATGATTTTAAAAGGCTTAGATCCATAAAACAAATATTTGAACAGAAAAAATTCACATGAGCTCTCTGAATATTTTTTCAGTGAGTCTAACCCTCATTCTCAACATTGGGATTTGCTTCACCTGCTATATAAGTCATAATTTCTCAAGGAGTAGTAAGCATCTTTGTTCCTTTGTTCAGTTATGACGAATTAATATTATTTCAGTTAGTCAGTTATTCATTATCAAACATTTATTGGGAATTAACTATACTCCAGCCAGTAGAAAGAAATGATCCCTATGTTTAAGAAGCCATGGAAAACTCATTTAGTCCCAAACACACATAAGTAAGAAATCACCCAAAGAAAAGTAGAGTAACTAAGGTAGGCTAAATCCGTATTAAGCCCACTGTCTGATTTGAATGTGCTTTGGACTTCAGGATAATGTTGGTTTTCTTAATTGATTTTTAATATCCAATAGTCTACAGGATTTTGATTGCTACTAGTGGCAAAGCAGTCTCACTAGTCATTTAAATTTATAATCTCGGAAGAAGCAATCATATTTTCCTAGTAGACGACGCTACTTACAGTTCTCCTAAATTTTTTAATGAAGAAAATGTCTTCTCTGGAACAAAACCAATTTGATTTCTAGGCAGAAACCTGTAAGACATGGCGAGAATCAGCATGTGGGTTTGCGTCTGCTGTAGTAATCAGTTCTCATTGGGAGAGGCCACTGATCCAGGCAGAATTGTATAAGCCTCCTTTGAAGTCTTCAAGGGAGGCGTCTTTTAGAGTGGAACCTAAAGCGGGACTTTCTCACCGTGGACATCCCCATGTTCTCTTCAGGAAGTGCTGTCACGAGCAATTTGAGGTCCTGAGTGCGGTCTAGAAAGCTGCACTTTGTTTGGATTTAATTATTTTAGAAAATGTCTCTTTTAATTTTCCTTTTCCATTCTTTTTTCCAATCACCCATCCAATCAACAAACATTACTAAGTGCTTACTAAATGTGGAAAACTATCATTAAAACAAAACCAAAACACTCATGTTTCAAAGCTTTCCAGCACGAATGCACTGATTGACCAAACCATCTGCCTTCCTGCCCCATAAAAACAGAAACAGCGATCAGAATCATGAGGCTGAATCTTTGGCCAATCAGAATGCTTTCGATGTTTTTCCTTTTAGATGAAATTATGATTTTTTTTTCTTTAGGGAGAAAGACATCAAATGCTAAGGGTCATTGGCTAATCATTGTACAGCTAACCACTTTCACATACATTATTTCCCTTCCTTGGTGACCACGGGGTTAGGAAACTGGAACTTTCAGGTCCCAGTTCAGCTGAGAAGGTGCACAGAAATAAGGAAGTCACATGATGTCCCTAAAGGGTGGGCACCTTAACTTGAGGCTCAGCCCCAACATCCAAATCAATAAATCGGTGTGTGCATTTTCTAGCACTGCAGTGTCAGACCAAGGCTGTAAACAAAATGCTACTTTAAAATTCTTTGTCAATGTTTTCTTTTTGACTTCCAAATATATAGGGTTTCCCCTCATTTAGTGAAGTCCATTGTATACTTACAGCACTGTGAGCGAATTGCACGACAGAAACGTAGAATTTGTGAGATACTTTATTCGATTGCCTTCCAAATCCCTGGAAGTCATGGAGGAAAGATAATTTTAATTTTTTTTTTTTTGTACAAATCATTTGCTTAGAGATACTTTTTAAAACAGTTCTCAAGTTTATTTTTACTTCATTCCAGTTGTTACTATGCTTTCCTCCTAATTATTGCAAGGTTAGTACTAATATTATAGTATTGCAAGGTTAGTACTAATATTGCAAGCATAACTAATATTATGCTTCTTTCTCCCTTCCAACTAATGTTAATAAAATTGAGGAAAGGGCAGCCTAACATTTAGTGGGTGTCTTTCTGTGCTGAACACTATGCTATTAATTATAATATTGCCCAACCCATCATAAACTACCATTGATTGGGCTTTTATGGTGCCAGGTGCTGTTCTACATGCATCACACAGCACTCCTGCCAAATTGCTGTTATTACCCCCCATTTAACATAAGAGAAATCTGAGGCTCTTGGTGATTTACTTTCCTTCTGACCACACAGCTAGTAAGTGGTAGAAATGACCCAGCCCAGATCTGTCAGAATCTGAAGCCTAGACACTTAACTACCGTGTGTGGCGTCATTGATCATTACATCCTCACATTCCCTCCAACATCGGGTAGACGTTTTTGTCTCTGTTTTGCTGAAGGAGAATCTCAGGCCAAAGTTATCCTGTACATACTGAACACCAGAGTCAGGATGCGAATCCTGATCTGTGTGATGCCAAAGTGCAGGCTCTTTCTGTGATTCCTCAAGGACGCTAATGCCAAGGGCAACACTGCTCAAAATGGCATGGACGCAGCCTCAGCGCTGCCTGGAACTTGCTAGAAATGCAGATTCTTGCCCTAGACCGACTGAATCAGAAACTCTAGCACTGAAGTCCAGCCGTCTGTGTCTCAGCATGTCCGCTCGTTGTTTACGATGCATGCTGACGTTTGACAAGCACTGCTGGGGAGATTTCATTCTGCCAGGTAATTCTGCAGGTCAGTGGCATCCCACATACTCGGACAGTGCCCTTCGCAACACTGTGATATTCCTGTTTCAAGCAATGCAGAGGACTAAGAAACAGCCCATTTTTCTGCCAAGTCTCCTGATTTCTCTTCATAGTCAGCTCCTTACAGTCTTCCCCAAATATGGCAATAGCTACTTTTCTGCTTCTGAACTTTTCTCATAGTCACACTAAAATCACCAATCCCTTTGTCATTTTAAGAAAATATCATTTTAAAACTATCTTGGAGATTTGTATAGGAACTTGAGATGTACATTTTTTCACACAATATACTCTGATTAAAAATAACAAACACCGTACTCTCCTAAAAATCCAAATATTGTGACATAGAATGGAAAAAATGTTTTTCATGATCTCAGAAGTAGGACACTTTGGGGTTGTGGGAGCAATTGTCCAACCTGATAGCAAGTAAGCGAAGAGGAAAACCCTCCCCAGAACGGGTTTTCTCCTGTCTGGCCTTTCTTCCTGTCTGGCCTCTCAGCTTCCTACCCTCTGTGTTGAAAGGCTATCAGTTGCAATCAGGCCGTCTTGCTACCTATGTGTTTTTACTGCGTGTCTATTTTTTCCCACGTGTTTGTGGGAGCCCATTGTGAAAATGAGTGTCTCAGGAACCCTGAGCTCTGAGGCTGGTTCCTCACCTGCTGCTGACTGATGTCCCTTTTGGGGAGGGAGAGCATGCTGAGCCCCTGATATTTGTCTGCTACCTTTACTCTTTCCTGTGTGTTTCCCATTGTGTATATGCACTTGTTTAGTTTCTAAGTATTTTCTTTTCACCTATTCTTATTCTCATGGTGTTCAGGTCATTATCTCCATTTTTAATAGTGGCACACTTATGTGAGACCTCTATTGTTTTAGAAGCCTTTTGACAGCATGTATTTAAATAAATACATAAAAATAAACATCAGAAAATAAACACAACACTACCTAATAGTATTGTAACAAGAGATTTTGAAGTTAGTTCAGGTAGGATCAAAAGCTGAAGTACTAAAACTTTATCATCTTGTGGGTCTTGAGTTCCATGATTTGACTGAGAAGAGTTCCAGCAGTGGTACCATCAGCATTTTCACAGAACAGGAAAGCAATGGACATGACAATCCTGGTTGCTGCAGAAGACTGTGAAGGTGTATGTGGCAGGGAATGGTGGGTAATGGTGGTGAAGCTATGACGTAAATTAAATGAATGTTTTAAATGGGTATTGTTTAAAAGCTAATAAGGAGTAGAAATGGTTTGGTACATCCATTCTAACAAAGGCTTATTGAGCACCTATTATGTGCTTGTCATTGTCCTGATGCTGGGGTAGGAAATCACATGATAGGTTTCTGCCTTCCCAGAATTTATGGAACAGTACAGAAGACATAAGCACCGAGGCAGGTGGATCACCTGAGGTCAGGGCTTGAAGACCAGGCTGGCCAATATGGTGAAACCCCATCTCTACTAAAAACATAAAAATTAGCCAGGCCTTGTGGTGCACAAGGCTGGGGCAGGAGAATCACTTGTTCCCAGGAGACAGAGCTTGCAGTGAGCTGAGATCGCACCACTGCACTCCAGCCTAGGTAACAGAGTGAGACTCCATCTCAAAAAAAAAAAAAAAGACATAAACCCAATGACTATATGGTGATAGTACCCTGAGATAGGGATGAGGTGTAGAAAATGGTCTGTGTGGTGGAGTTTTGTACATGATGCAATGGGTGGGAGTACATAGGCGGCTGCTGAAACTGGTTTGTGTGTCAGGAATGGCTTCCTGGAGGTGATGTTTAAGTTGTCTTTTGAAGGAAATGTTTAAGTTATCCAAAAGAATAAGGGAGCAAGACTTTTTAAGTCCAAGGAACAATATGCTTAGGGAATTGACTGTAGGAGCAGTAGTTTGATACATGCATAGGAGGGTCAGGGACAGCATCTAGATGGGGTAAGGAATGGAAAATGAGGGTCTTGGATGCTCAAAGGGAAGGTCCAACTTTACCCTCACCCTTTGGGAACCCTCAAATAATTTTGAAACTGGGAAGGTAATATGATCAGATTTTGGTTTGGGAAAGAAATTATAGATGGACTTTCTAGGTAACCTTGAATTAACTTTATGGCTAGTTTCCTTAATCAGGGCAAATAACAAATTAATTCCTAAATAAATACTCACACCCAGTTGAGTTGAGGCATTTGGGCACACATCTGCTTGGGAAGAGCTTCTAAGTAGTTATTAACCATAGACCTTTACACAAAGAAAATATTAATTAGAAATAAAATGATATGACACTTTTAGGACAGTCTTTTTATTATTTTAAAATTTCAAAACTTGCATGCTAAAATTAGTATGATAAAGAACATATATAGCTATTTCAAAATGGTCTTTAAAATATGTGTATGGCAAACATTAGGGAGCAGATGTTGTCAAAGAAACTATGAATGCATAAGTATGATACATATCCTAAGAACAGATGTTACACAGTTTAATTTTATGAGATGAAACAAAAGTATATATTGGGTAATAATTTTGAAGTTCATGGCAATTTTCCTTGTAAACTTCAGGTTGTAAACTTCAGGGCCATACATCCAAAGTTTCTTCTTAAGGGCATCATTAATCATTTATAATATTAAAGGGCCACATTGGAAACTGCATTAAATTGGAGAAGTGACAGTAGGGGGAATTTGGGGAAAGAAAACAACTCATGAGCATGTTAAGCTGCACGATTAATTTATGATATTGTGATTCCTTTTGACAAATGGAAAAATAATGATGTTATATGATCAGTTGTAAAGGAACATAATAATCCCCTGCTGATAAATCATTCCAGTGTATTAATAAACAGTGAAAATATTATTGTGAGAACAGCTCTCTTGGTAGGACAAAGATTTTGAAAGTTTCAGTGAGTCTTGCTGGGCAAAGGCACATTTTCCTCCATTAAAAGCGGAGTTGGAAATGAACTCCTGGGAGATTCTAAGAAAATATAAAAGTAGTTAGGATATGAAAATTAATACTACCTTTGGTCAACCACTGCAAATAAAAACATGCCTTAGTACTAAAGGAAATTAAAGGGGATAGAAAAATCAACTAGTAGGCTTAAAATATTCATCGTAGTCTGGTCAGCTCTTCCCTTTGAGCCATGGCTAGAAAGTGTTATATTAACAATAACTGTGGCTGGGAACACAGGAGAAGTTTTGACTAATAAAAATTTTTGTGGGCTTGATTTTGTTAAAAGTTCTTTTTGTAAGCTAGTGCTAGATGTCATTGCAATGTATCGATAGACATATTGAAAGGTTGATGAATACTTACAGGAAAAACAAGGAATTTAATCCCGTAAACAAACGCTGTGAAATTCTGGTTATTGGATTGTCATCTAGAATTCTGATAAAATGTATCAAGAAACATTTCCAATATTAGAGACATTTGTGAAATAAAACCTGCCTCCCCTCAACACCTGGCTTACTCCTTTGTGTGCTTCCATACTTGGCTCACCTGTCCCTTCCCTCTGTGGTTGGAGCAACTCTTTCCTCCAAATTCCTACAGCTTCCATCCCACTCATCAAGTTGGATCCTGATTGTTTTGCTTTCTCCCTGCTGCCTCCACCTCCTGCTGGACTTAACGACCCAGGTTGTATCTGTCACCTCTGGGTACCTGGGTCTGGCACAAACTCTGTGTATTGAATGCATTTGGCCCCATAAATGCTCTAACCTACTGATTGAGCTGAAGGATGAACAAAAATATAATTTTTAGGAAATCACAGAGGGTTCTTTGGTCTCATGGTGTTAAACTGATGTATTAAATAAGGTGTGTATAAGTCAATGGATGGATGTCATGCTATCCATAAGGAGCTTCCTGGGTGAAAGAGTGAAACTATTTGCATATTCAAACCACTGTTTTAAACTGTATTTTGTAGAAGAAATGAGAGTAAGGGGAAATAGGCCTCTGTTCCTCTTGTTGCCTGTGAAGCCAGTTTGTGTTTCCTCTTACTTGCAGTGGCTGGTGAGGGCAGGATTGGGAGAAGGGAGACACATTAAGCACCTACTATATGCCAGGAGCTTTGCCTGTGGAACTGTTATGTGATATAATTCTCACAACATCCCTCTTGAAAAGGAATTATAGTTTACAGATGAAAATAAAGAGGTCTAGGAAAATTAAGAAAGTTGCCTGGGCTGGGCACGGTGGTTCATGCCTATAATCTTAACACTGAGAGTATGAGGCAGGCAGATCGCTTGAGCTCAGGAGCTGGAGACCATCCTGGGCAACATGGTGAGACCCACCCCGTCTCCACTAAAAATGCAAAACATTAGCTGGGTATAGTGGCTCACACGTGGAGTTCCAACTACTCGGGAGGCTGAGGTGGGAGGATTGCTTGAGTCCTGGATATTGAGGCTGCAGTGAGTCAAGATTGTACCAGTGCACTCCAGCCTGCATGACAGAGTGACACCTTGTCTCAAAAAAAAAAAAAAGAAGGAAAGAAGGAAGGAAGGAAAGAAGGAAGGAAGGCAAGCAAGCAAGCAAGAAAAGAAAGAAAGAAGAAAGAGGAAGGAAGGAAAGAAGGAAGGAAGGAAGGAAAGCCTGGAAGACTAAGCATGGGGCTAAGGGTGAGAAAGAAAGAGAGAGAGAAAGAGAGAAAAGAAAAGAAAGAAAAGAAAAGACAAAAGAAAAGTTGCCTGGAAGACTAAGCATGGGACTAAGGGCAAGGCACACAGAAGGGCCTGGATGAAGCTGAGGCCCTGGCTTTTTCCACTAGACCAGGCCAACCTGCAGAAAATGGGCAAACAATACAGAAAGCCTTCTAACCGCCCCTTGTGTATTTTCCTGGTGAAAGCACAGACATCTGACGTGAGGTTTCTTGGAACGGAGCTGGTGGCTAAGTCTGAAAAGTGGTGAAATACCACAAGCTATCATGTTTTCAGACTTCTCTCTGAATGCTCTGGAAAGCAGAACAAGTTCTTAACTTGCTTATTTTCAGTACAGTGGTTGTCAGCAGAGGTCAATTTTTCCTCCCAAGGGACATTCAGCAATGTCTGGAAACATTTTTAGTTGTCACAACTCTTGGGAGAAGAGGTATACTACAGGCATCTAGTGGGTAGAGGCCACAGATGGTGCTTAGCATCCTAAAATGCACAGGACATGCTCTGACCTTCCACCCTACCCTTCCCCAAAACAAGCATTAAGTGAGCAAAAATGTCAGTAGTCCTGTGGTTGAGGATTCCTGCCCTTGGTGAGCACTGGATGGATGGATGGCTTAGCAAGCCTACTGCAGGGCTCAGAAGGCCTCCTAAAGAAGCTTGGCCAGCTTTCTTTTCACATAACCACTACTTGACATGACATTGAATTGCCTGGGTAAAGTTCTGCAGATTATATGACAATCAGAAAAGTAAGTATAAAAATAAGATATGTCAAACAGTGGAAACAATATGAGCACTGTTGTATATCATCAAGACTAGGATCCTTTATGGAGAAAGAAGAATTAGAGTACTTACAGCCAAGTTAGCTGATGTAAGTCTTTGAATATTCCAGGTCTGAGAGTTGTGATGCGGTTGTGGTTGAGATATCTACAAAGAGCATGGGTGAGTTAATTAGGCAAACTCAACACCCCATTTTAGTCACATATAATTAGAATAGGAGTCACTGATGATGATTATGAATATGGACATCTGTGTCTGAAAGCACTCGGCTGAATGAGCAGAGGGGGCAAATTCAAGGGGTATCCAGAAGGTACAGATAACCACAAGCCCAGTGTGTGCAACACCAGGGCCGGGGCAGATAAAGTGGTCCTAAAATATTTTGGGATATTACATCATGTTAGATTGTAAGGGTATAATAACTAAGTATGTGGGGCAATTTTTGCTTTTGTCCTTTTTGGTGACATCCTTGGTAGACTAGCATTTTGAGAAAATACATAGCAATTTATCAAGAGTTAGAAAAGAAATAAAATGTTAAAATATTGCGGAAGCGACCCAAGCTAGAGAAGACAAGCTTAAGGAGAACCTTTATATGTCTTCTGGTAAAGGTAGGAATCTTTTAATAATTGTTTCAGTGTAGTAACTAATCTCAGTACTTTGTGATAACCTATTCCTCCCATTTCCCTACGATCAAGTTGAGGCTTGAAAAAGTACCATTCTATCCTTTTAGTCTTTACTTAAAATTATACCTACAATATGAGAAAAAAGTTACTCACAATATTTGTAGATTATATAATCCAAAAAATGCTTTCCTGGATATGTGTCTAATGCAATTACGCTGAAGAAATCTGGTAGGAATAAGATAGGAGAGTCAGGTGATTATGGTTTATGGACTATATTAGGTTGTTGAACATGTTCTCCACTTTCTTTACCTGAAGACAACTATGAAATTGCCTTATAAAGTACAATGTCCTATTCTCATGTTGGGGAGATGTTGGCAGTGAGAAATGGCTATGAACTAGCCAATGCTTTTCTCATAGTACTCGTGCAATGAGATTGAGGCATTTCTGATTCATACCACTGAACTCCAGTGTGATGTGTCTGCGGAAGGATCTAGTCTTGTTTTGGCAAACTGGAACTACGGTGACCATCCTGTTCTGACGGGTAGGAGTTTCTCGCCTTGTGAGACTAGCCAGCCTCTCACTGCTGGACTTTCTTCCTCTTTGTGCACAGAGATGCACCTTTAACTCCCCATTTATCTTTATTCTATTCCCGTGAATAAAGGAGAGGGCAAGTTTTAATTCTTTTCTATTTCATGATGCAAAGTGAGAAGGACAAGGCAAGTTAGGTACTCAGAATATCAAAGGACATCAGTAGTTGAACCAGGGCAGGTATGCCAATTTCAAGTCACAGGATCAGGACTGACTTAACCTCTGAAGCAACTTAACAATACAGTATTGATTCCATAATTGCACTGTCAGGAGTATGTAAGTAAATAATTTCCATTTGCTGTCTTCATTGTACAATGGGAAGTTAGCTCTGAATTCCTATTCTCTGAAGGCTCTCAGGGTCAGGCAATACCTACACTAATAGTAACAAATTGTTACGTAGTCTTTTGAATGGCTTCCATTTCTCTTATTTTGGTTTGAATTGCTTCCTAAACTATTACATGATGCTGTTTCATTGCTATGATAGTCTACTGCAAAACTATTTGTAGATCACATGCTCATTTGACATCTGGCTATACTGTGAATTTTATTATACCATGATTATTTCCTAGCAGAGCTCCCAGCCTTTGCCTCTGAGTCACGATTGTGTTATAAGAGTGCCAGGATGGCTGGGCGCGGTGGCTCAAGCCTGTAATCCCAGCACTTTGGGAGGCCGAGACGGGCGGATCACGAGGTCAGGAGATCGAGACCATCCTGGTTAACATGGTGAAACCCCGTCTCTACTAAAAAATACAAAAAAACTAGCCAGGCATGGTGGCGGGCGCCTGTAGTCCCAGCTACTCGGGAGGCTGAGGCAGGAGAATGGCGTGAACCCGGGAGGTGGAGCTTGCAGTGAGCCGAGATGGCGTCACTGCACTCCAGCCTGGGCCACAGAGCGAGACTCCGTCTCAAAAAAAAAAAGAAAAAAAAAAGAAAAGAGTGCCAGGATAGTGACTCTCTCAGACCTCAAGAGAGGCAGGTAAAGCCAAGATCGGAGTGGTTACCAGAGGCCAGGAAGAGGGGAGATGAAGGGGCACAAATGAATATTTATTACCACTAAACTAAACACTTAAAAATGGTAAAGATAGTAAATTATATATATTTAACTTCAATTTAAAAAAAGAAAATGAAAGTAAATAAAGGTTATTGGAAAGGAAAAAAAAAAAAAAAAAGCTAGGGCAGGCTTCCAGCTATCAGCAAACACTATCTTTCACCCCAAGTACTTTACAAACATTGTCATTTTCCCTATGTTCCTCCATGTGCAAAGGGTTGGCACTACAGAGCATTACATCTGTGGTAATATGCAGAGCATCAATTTCAATCCTGCAAAGTAAACTTGAAACCCAGTGTGACCTTGTGCCATCTTAACCCCCATTCCCTGTACCATATCTGTGGGGAGATGCTTCACAGAGCAGCATACATTCTGCTTTTGGTTTAAGATTCTGCTATGAATAGGATGAACTCACACAGATCAATATCTGTTTTAGCATTTTCAGAGCCTTGAGACTGATGCAATGAAAGTTAATATGATGAATTATGTTACAGTAGCAAATGAAAATAGAAAAAGAACAAAATACTGTATTGTAGGTATATTGAAGTTTCTCTTAAATATACAATTCACTACTTAACTAATGCTATTCACATTTTGTTCAGGATGATAAATTCAAAAATGGAATGTATGTTTTACCTACATGTTGTCACATCTTGAAGAGATGAGTGCAGTTGCAAATTGTGAATTTGACCTTATGCTTTTTTCTTATAAGTCAAGGGAAAGAAAGAGTAAAACCAATGATCCACACAACTCATCCGATGTGTACAACCTATCTCCCTTCACTGACATCACTTAAAACTCAAACTCTTACATGATGAAGAGCTTCTCATCTTCTATTTAGTTGGCTGGCTGCCACCCCATAGAGAACTGTAGTCCCTCCCACATTCCATGTCTCAGACTTAGGCTGCTGAACTTGAACTCCATCCTCTAGTCTCTGCTGTCTTCTTTGCAGAATAGTAGCTTAAAGAATGTGAGGGGATATCTGGAAACATGACAACTTGGCAAGTGGTGCCCTCTTTTTATTCAAAGCTGAGATATGAGCCCATTTAATATACTTTACACTGAATGCCTTTTCTAAGAATAACTTACAGGTTCATGAATTCCTGCTGTTTCAGCTGTCAGGACTTTTCAAGCAGAAATGCCAGGAATTTATGTACCCAAAACTAAAGCAAATAAATGCTTTAATGACATGCATGTTTATAGGCTATTTTTGAATGTGCCATTTTGTATTCAAGAGCCAGGCAGACACCTTGAATTTCGTTTTGTTGCCAGTGATTGTATTTAACAAGAACCCAGATTAAGAAGGAATTCCTAATTTATAAAAGGTTTTTGTTACAATAAGGAGGAGAACTGCTGTTTGTTTCCATGGTAGCAGTGATAAAGTATTATAGTCAATCCCACAAATTGTATTTTATTTCTCTGAAAGGTCATTTGAAACTGCATCCACCCCCAATTTAGAAAGGCCTGACATTTTAAAAGATTATTAAAATGAATAAACTGATCAATAGTAAAAGCATTCAGATCAGTTAAGCAACACTTATTCATCTGGCAATTAAGATTTAATTTTGATTTAGGAATTTGGTTTTTTTGTGTGTTTTTTTTTTTTGGATGCCTAAATGACCTCAACTCCGCTGTGAATATTCAGAGTATTCCAGACAGGAGACTGCCTTGACATTAAATTTGGGGATCTCGCAGGATAACAGTCCCCAACCTTTCTGGCACCAGGGACTGGTTTCGTAGAAGACAATTTTTCTTCTTCTTTTTATTTATTTATTTTATTTTTTTGCTTTTAAGACAGAATTATGCTCTGTCGCCCAGGCTGGAGCGCTGTGATGAGATCTCGGCTCACTGCAATCTGGACTTTTTGGGTTCAAGCAATTCTCCTGCCTCACCCTCTTAAGTAGCTGGGACTACAGACACACACCACCACGCCCGGCTAATGCTTTTGTTGTATTTTTAGTAGAGACGTTCACCATGTTGGCCAGGCTGGTCTCAAACTTCTGACCTCAACTGATCCACCTGCCTCGGCCTCCCAAAGTGCTGGGATTATAGGTATAAGCCACCGTGCCTGGCCAGTTTTTCTATGGATGGGGAGGGGGTATGGTTTCAGGATGATTCAAGTGCATTACATTTATCATTAGATTCTCTTAAAGAGTGTACAACCTAGATCCCTTGTATGTGCAGTTCACAATAGTGTTCACACTCCTGTGAGAATCTAATGCCACTGCTGATGTGACAGGAGGAGGCAGAGCTCAGCTTTGCTTGCTCGCCCGCCACTCACCTCCTGCTGTGCAGCCCAGTTCCTAACATGCCACAGACTGGTAGCCGTCCGTGATTCAGGGTCTGGGGATACCCCTGTCATAGGATATAATCTGTTAAATATGCAGATTAACTTTATTAGCTCAATACAGTCTAAAACACATATTTGTGCATGTCTGTTCTCTGCTGAAACAGAATAAAATTCAGATGTCTTAGCTGGCATACAATCATGATGATTCAGTGACCTCTCCGGCATATGCTCCATCATCTGCTGCGGGGATGCCTTTCCTTTAGGCAAACTGCCTGTTCACTCTCTTCTCAACATCCTTTGGACGTTTCTACTTATGTTTCTTTCTTTTCCCTGGTGAAGATGCTCCCCACCTTCTCTTTAGTTCTACATGTTAGTCCTACCCATCGTTCACTCAGCAAATACTCATTAATCCTTGTGGGTTTCTTACCAGGTATGCTACAACACAGGCCTCAGTAGACTAAGAGAGAACCAGGAGGGCCGTCCAGCCCGTGAGGAGCATATGGTGGTCAGAGAGTTATTCCTTCAAGAGGGAAAGTGAGAGGGCTTCATGAAAATAGAATTGTAGTTGACCCGAGTCATGTGCAAAACTCAAACAGTAGAGAATACTGTGGCAATAAAAATGTGTATCTAGTTTTATTGTAGAAGCAAGAAAGTCTTAAGGAAAGTCTCAGTTTGCCTCCTGGAACCTGTTTTATAATGTTATGAGATAATGTAAAAGGAACAACTGCTTATTTCTCAACTCCTACTTTGTTCCCGTCTTCTGGATCAAAGAAGATGGTCTCAGGATTGAAGAAATGGAAAGGCTATATGGCAGGCAGCTCAGTGAAAGCCCAAGATGGTAGAAGGTGTTAATCAAAATTAATTAAAGCCCTCTAGTTTGGAAATTTTCTCCTAGAAATTGAGAAATGCCAAAAAATGAGAATATCAAATTATGGTCAATTGCTGAGGAATCCAGAGAAAGGATGAGCAGCTGGAAAGTAAAAGATGGCAAATGTAGTCTTAAGTTCTCAAAAAGGTAAGAAGTTGGTTTCACAAGCTGTGGTTGGATGAGCTCAATGCTGGTCCTGGGAAGATCATAGAACAGGTGAATATGATGCTACTTTGTCTATGCCTCAAAGAGAAAGTGACCAGGACAGTTCACAAGAAACCACATGGTAGACCAACTTCATTTTCTTCTTTGAAAGACTGTGCAAAACTATGTGATAAACATTGTTACATGTCTGCTGGGCACTGATCAAGCAGTTTTATAATTTTTTATGGACAAAAGAAAGAATGATACATATTCTTATCTGAAGGATGGTGATGAAGGAATATAGAAAGACAGTTTGGTGCTGTTCTCTTCAATATTTTACTCCATGACCTGGGTGAACGTAGTTAATCTTATTTGCAGATGACATAATTATGAGAGGAGTAATGACTATGATGGAAAACACAAAAAGACCTTCACTCTCCTGTAAGAAAAGCTGACTCAAACAGGATGAAACTGACTAGGGATATATTTAAGCACCCACAACTACCTCTCAAATACTAAGTGCATGAGTACAGGATGTAGCACACACATCACTTAGCAGCAACACATGGGGCATGGGATTAGACATTATAGATCAGTAGGAGTTAAGAGTATCAAGAAATCATCAAAAGAGCAATATAATCATAGGGCATATAGAGTGCAGATGGAAAGGGATGCGAGTTCTTCCCTGTTTGCCTCGGTCATGTTACAGTGATAACAGTGTATTTATTCTAGATGTCACCCATCAAGACAAATGTAGGCAAACATATGCAGATTATTGTGACCAGAATGATGAAAAGATTTGAAACTATGTCCTTTGGGGAGGAATATAAAGAACTGAGGATACTTAGGGAAGAGGTTTGTGGTGTGGTGGAGGGTGATGACAGCTAGTCTTAAATATCTGTAGACGTATGTAGAAGACCGATTAGATGTGTTCTGAGCAGTCTCTTGGGGGTAAATTTAGGAATGATGGGGAGCTTTAGAGGCACCTTGAGCAGTGGTAATGTGGACAAAGTTATTAGTGAATTGTTTGAAATTCCATTTCCCCAGCACCTTCTAATCCTCTTTCTGGTTGATTTTTAACCCTCACCACCACCTAACAAATTGTATATTTTAAACTTTGTTTATTGACTATCTTTCTTGATTGGAAATTAAGCTCCACAAGCTTAACTTCATCTGTGGCTTTTCATCGGTGTTGTTCATGCTGTATCCTTGGTGCCTGGAACCTTGTAGGTGTCAATAAATATTCATCACAGGAGTAAATGAATATGTGGATCTTGCTAGCTGCTGCTCTCCTTCTACCGGATACCAAGAGTTCTGACTGAGGCCCACCTGGTTTCCTCCTCCCCCTGACATCCTTTCCTGGGGATGGTTTGGTATTTGCCACATTTGTTATTTGGGTCATTGTATGAGGATTGGGAAGAAGAAGGTAAGAGTAGATGGACAGGAGGGACAAGAAGTAGGACTGCTGCTGGGGGTTATTTTTCTGGGAGTTTGGAAAAGAGCAGGAGGAGTTGAGGAATGTGGGTAAAGGGGATGGGGAGGAAAGGAGATTTAAGAAAGCATTGTTGAGCTTATGAGCTGCTCTAGGATATTTGAGTATAAAGAACTTGAGTTATTTTCAAATCAAAGTTTACTTACTGGGTGGTTTCATTGATAATAACACATTCTGAGCCTGGACTATGTGGGTGGGCTTCCAAAGGAGCATGGTCAGAAGGTTTGGGTTTGAGGCCAGTCTCTACTACTTGTCAGCTGACTGACTTTGGGCAAACAACCTCTCTTCCCAAGTGGCTTTCCTGATTCCTGAAACTGCTGTAATGATGTCTGCCCCACCTCACAGACTTTGGGGATGAAAATTCCAAATATTGGAATTCTTTGTAAACTTTAAAAAGTGGTAGATGACTGTAAGCAATTGTGTTTTATCCCCTGGGCTTTATCTTACATATAATAAACACTTGATGAATGTTTATTGATGAGAGTCTCATAACTTCTTTTCTATTAGTCTCTGGGAAAATTAATGCCTGCAAACGATCAAATAGCAGCTTGCATGGGGAGAAGCCCTGTCAGGTGATATTCAGGTTATGATGTGGTGCCTGTTTTCTCTGACAAAGCAGAATTAAACATTTACTTGGAGAAATTGCTAGCTAATCTTGGCAATAAAGTTTAATCTCTATCTTTTTTCACTTGGAAAATTATGGACCTGAATTATTAAATTGCTTCTATATTCTCTTCAGTGGGCTAGCAGGGACTGGGACCGCAGAGGGAGATACTGGCATAGAACACAGTTATAGGTTAATAGACCGAGGAAGGACATGGCCTGAGAAGTCTTAATTTTAACCCTCCTGCTTGAGCCTCTGGTGACCCCGCTCCCTCCCCAGAAGTCAGCGTGCCCAAAATTAGGGGGCAAAACATATACAAGGGAATTCTACATGGGGTGGGACAGTCTGTGCTGGTAGAAATTCAGTTGAATGCTAGAACAATTTCTTTCCCTCTTAAGGTTTCTTGTTATGGTAAAGTAAGCACTACTTTGGACATCAGAAGACATTGGCTGTAATTCTGGGTCTTCCACTTACTAGTTGTAGATCTTAGGTGAGTCATTTAACCATTGCAGACTTTAGTTACTTCGTGTATAATGAAAAGATTTAATTAGAAATTCTTAAAACTTCTATGACTCTAGAAAATAGAATTTCAATTGCTATGAAACAAGAATTCTGAAACAAAAAATCTCTTCCCTTCCTTTCTGCTAGTGCTATTTTTCCTCCCATATGTGTTATTCAGGCAGTGCAAAGACAATATTGATTCATCTAATGAACAGGTTGTGATTTTAGGGATTTATTGGAAGACTAGGAAGAGTGTGGTTAGAATTTCCTCTCTAGAGGAATCTGGACATGCAGAGTCAATGCATAGCTACTCTAGTGTGACAATGACATGACCACATACCCACATACTTTAGGATGAAGCAACAGGTCTGAGAGCAGCTGGGCTTTACAGAGGCCACAGTCAAACCCAGGTATGATTGAGTATTGATATTCACACAAGGTTCTACCTCGTGGACTTCCAGTAGCTACTTCTTTTCTTGTATGAGGAAATCTGTACCTAAATTCAGGAACACAAAATCCTTGATGGTATTTCAAACCAAATGTGTGTGCCCAGTATCAACAAAGATTCAGATAATTTTTATTCCTGGATTTTCACAAATTTCACATTTCTAGAAACTTTTTGCCTCTATGCTGGATACTGAAGGATAACACAATAAGATGATGGTACCGCCAAGGGGGCTTGCAGAGTGTACAGCATTCTCTTGCTAATTTTGTTATCTAGTCTAATGATCATCTCAGCAGGTGTAGCCCCTCCAGCGCCCCAGAGCGACTGGCCCAGAGGGATTGACAGACACCAATCCAACTTACAAATGACTGATACACGAACCTGAATATTCTTGATTTATAAATGTGAATAGAAAGCATCCCATCCCACTTACAGGAATGCTTTTATTCTCTATGCCATGCAGCTTTTCAAATACTTTAAAATGAAGACGTTGGGAAACTAAATTCATCATCCTAAGGTTGCTTGGTTAGTAGGGAATCAAAGCAAAGGAATTGTTTATGAAAATTGTGGTGCATCCTTCCCTCCAAGAGAGATCATCTCTAGGGATTATATTTCACAGTTCACGGTTTTCTTTCTTGGATGATTCTGGAAGCATATTGGCCCTTCTTTGTCACAGAATACCTTCTCTGCTGATCATGTCCTATTTATTGGCATTTTCTTTCCTCAGATATGTTAATATCACTGATTGCACAACTCCCATGTTTTCACTCCTAACACCCTGGGGGATGTCTGTACCCTATCATTATGTATTTGAAATGATCTGATTGTTCTTGTTTATGCTGTCACTCATTTTTTCAAGTGAAAAAGTGCCTCTGAATGTGCAATGTCATTTTCCCAATATCTTGAGGAAAATAATAGAACTGTGTATTTTCCTACTGAGATGTTTTACCTCGACTCCAAGTTAATTCTCTGAAAAAGTTTAAATAAAATGGGTTCAGCTCCTTTAAATTATGAAATGGAAAGATAACATACTTTTAAATGTTTTATTTTCTAATCTTAATTACATTTAGAAACATAAATGTAATGATAAAAATCTTGATATTTTATTTTATTTTTAGATCAAAAACATCTTATACAACCAAAAGGATTTTTTAAAAAATAAATATGCTATTAATGGCTACTTACATCTTTTTAAGTTTTGTGTATTTGATGAAAACTTTATCTGGAAGACTGTGGATTTTGTTTTTCTTAAGAGACCTAAAATAACATGTAAAGCAAACTTCATTATGGATTTTCATGACCAACCCAGCTCTTCCCTAGAAGCCACATGCTTGGGAAAAGAATATTTGATGATGTCCATTATACTAATCCATACTTGAACATGACAATAACTAAAAATTTTTTATGGGAGAATGAAAAGTTTATATAGCAAAATAAAGTGGTTTGTAAATATTTGACAAATGTATCTAGTTAGTATAGCAGACTGGAAAGTCCACGGTGATTTAACTTCTTTGTTTTTACTCTCTGGGTGCATTAACAAACCAAACCAAACCAAAAACCAACCAAAGATCCCAACCCACTCTTGCATGCCCAAATGATGACATGAATGCACATTCCTGAGGCTTTCAATAACTTTATGCAAAGTACAGAAAATTTTGCATGATATAACATATCTGCTAGCTTCATGGATGTTTTATATCTTTGCAGTCTTGGATAGATTACCAATGTTAAAAATGGCATAGAATAAGTAAGCGTGCTTCCTTTTTTAAAAACAAAAACATTTCAGCACAAGCACAATAGTAATCATACATAAATCAGAAAACAATTGAAAATAAGAACTCCAGGCCCACAGACATTTATGAGTTAACTGATCCAGGCTAATCTAACATACAGGGTGTAAATCATTTTTTCCCCCTGAATAGGAAGCATGGAGAATTATCTGATGACTGGTAGTTTTAAACAGAGTTTCTATTATTTTGCTAACACACACGCAACACCATTGGTTTTTTCCTTGGTTTTCATGTGACTATAGGGACAAATATCACCAATAATTAAGTTTTACTCACAGTAATGTCACATTGTTAGAAATCATCGGCACAGACTTTAAGTCACCATTTACACATTCCAATTCAGTTTCTTTGCAGTCACAGCATTGTGGATACTGTTTTAGAACTAATGGGACAAAAAGAGTAAGATTTCACTAGCAAACAAATACATTTCTTTAATTATGACTTTGCCTTTAATAACTGATACTGTTTTCTTTTCATTGAATGTATAAAATTTACATCTGTTAAATGAACTCATTCAGCCCCTAATAAAAGTAAATAAGAATTCTCTCCTACTCAAATGTAGACTAATGTGTTAATCTCAGTTCTAGCTTCTAGTAGTCATTTCAGAGACGTTTACCAAGTGATTAGAAAAAACGCACAAAATGTTAACTAGCATAACTCATCTAGTGAAGCAAGATTAAGTTCACTTCAATGAAAAACATTAGTATGATTAATTCTTAATGGATATGACTGAGTCAGTTCAGTTCATTTGAATACCATAAAATAGTTGCTCAATAAATGCTTTTTGTTTAAAATCAGATTCAATTTTTTTCTTCTTTCAAACTTCCCTAAGAACCATGAGAAGACTGAGATGCAGGTTCTACCATAACAACACTGGCACTTTACTAAAATCCATCCAGCCAGATATTCCTTCATTTTGGTTCTTTGTTTTTCATCACTATGAAGTTGAAAGTTGAAGGTAAAAGTTATAGAGAAGCTGCAAAGCTGAGATAACCAAAGATCTAGCTATCTGAAGCGTTCAGAAGAAAGGATTCAGGATGTACTCTGAAGGGACTTACATAGTTACTAAGATAATGGCATGTAAAGAAGTGAGAAATCTAAGGAGAAGCCAGGCCAAGCTGGTCCATGGGACAATCACTCTGTGTGTGTGTGTGTGTGTGTGTGTGTGTGTGTGTGTGTGTGTGTGTGTGTGTGATAGAGAGAGAAGAGGGCAGAGGAGAGAGAGAGAGAGACTTTGAGAAAGAGAGTATTTTTGGAGTCTGATTTCTCCTCTGAGCCTATGAATATTTGTATGATAGAGCTAAGAATGTGAGAGTTATTTTTGAATTTATTTTGTTATTTCTTTTAATGTAATTATAAGTTCTTTTTAGTTGCCCTGCTTCTTTTAGATCACTCTTATCCAAATGTTATTTTAAAAATAAATTTTACTGAATTTTATTAGTAAAGCCAACAAACTTCTACTGAGTATATACTTAATGGAAAAGATGCTTTTAGTGTATAAATTTTTGAAAATATTTTATGTTGTCTATACATATATGTTAATTAGTTCAACTTCCTAAAGATAACTTTCATATGCTTATATCAATATTTATTGACATAACCACTATTGAAATAGTGCTTATATGATTAAATTGAAAACCTGTGATTGGAAACTTATTTACCAATAGAATAATTTCATAGGGTCAAGCTGGGTGTGTCGCCAAAACCAGAAATGTGAGCATTAACTGTTTACCCTCCATCACCTGCAAGCCAGTCATGCCCCCAGGCTCTGTGGATTCTTTTTCTGAAACGCCTTTTGCATCTCTCTCTACCTCAGTCTTCTCAATGGCATTTCCTGGGGATTGGAATAAATATAATATCCAGTATCTCTTTTATCATCATTCTTTCTCCTCCATCTGAACATGATTGACATTTTGGATCAATCGTTCTTTGTCCTGGGAGGCTGTCCTTTGCACTGTGGGATATTCAGCAGTAGCCCTGGCCTCTACCCACCAGATGCCAGCAGCAACCCACCCTTCTCCATCAGGATGACCAAAAGTGTCTCCAGGCTGGGCATGGGTGGCTCACGCCTGTAATTCCAACACTTTGGGAGGCTGAGATGGGTGGATTGCTTGAGCCCAGCAGTTTGAGACCAACCTGGGCAACATGGCAAGACCCCATCTCTACAAAGAATATGAAAATTAGCCAGGCATGGTGGTGCATGTCTGTAGTCCCAGCTACTCAGGAAGCTGAGGTGGAAGGATCACTTGAGCCTGGGAGGTTCAAGGCTGCAGTGGGCTGTGATTGTATCACTGCACTCCATCCTGGGCAACAGAGTGAGACCCTGTCTCAAAAAAAAAAAAAGTCTCTAGACACTGTCAGACGTTCTTTGCAGGCACTGTTGCCATGGCTGAGACTCACTACTCTAATTCATTCTCTGCAATTCTAATGAAATAATCTTCCTCACATACATTTCTGATCACGTGCTCTTCCTCCTCATTAAAAAATAAAATAAATATAAGACCAAACCAAACAAACATTAGGCCCAAAACTATGATGATTGCCTGTTGTATACAGTAGTAACCTTGAAAATGGGATGTGGGCAAGACGACTCATTGTGGGTTAGGTAGAAAATAGTAGAGCTTTTGGTTGTATTTATTTTTAATCTTATCCTTTTTTAGTTTCTAATTTTCATACAGAATATTCTTGTGCATTATAAAGTATATAAGTGGTCATTATAAACTGGTATTATAAAGTACATAAAATACTGTTAGTGTAGTATTTGATATATATATGTTATATACATATATTTACATATACATACTAATGTATGTAATTGTACATTCATCTTCCTAATTATATATCTATGTCTCTACATATACACATCCCCCCGTAAAATTCTATCTACAGGATAGAGGCCACACTTCAGTGTGTGCACCAAAACCTTTCATGGGCTGGCCCCAGCCTTCTAGGCTCGGCTCCTGCCCGTCCACCCCATGCACTCAGAATGGTTGTGAAAAGGCATCCTGCAGCCTGCTGCGCATCTTCCGACCCCAGTGTTTTGCTGATCTTGCTCCCCTGCTCGTCTTGTCACCTCGTAGCTTTCCTCCATCCAAGGACTTCAAAGTCCATCTCAAATGTTATCCTCTCTGGCAATCTTTCCCCACCCTCAGCACAGCCATCATTTCTTCCAATGGGCTTCCCCATTCCCTGGTGCAAACATTATTCCTCCCTTTTAGCAATAATATTATATCATCACTGCTTTTGTAAGGAACTGTCTTTCCTGCTACATGTGAGGTGTTTGTGGGTTAGAACTCCGTCTTAGTCATCGTTGTCCTCTCAGTGCCTAACATCTTTCTTGAAGAAAATAATGAAAAGGAATAAGAACTTTACTATGAGTCACAATTATTCAATACTTATATATTCTTGCAATCAGAGAGTACTGCATGAAAATAGCATAAACGGAGATGGTTGTTTTCTTTTTTCTATCTTTCCAATCCCACAGGCAGACAACAGACCTGTTAGCCAGTGAAATACATTGAACTAAAATGGAAATTGCAAAGGGAATTTGTCACATTACCCTCTATATAAATCTGTGCATCACAAATCATGTTTTTCACAAAGCTGATACTGTCTTTGAATCAAAACCACTTACAGCACTTCTGTGTTAAGGCCACGCTGTTAGCATTTCCATGGACTGTGCCAAATATGGTCGCCCATCCACTAGTGTCACCTGTGAAATGATGATTGAGATGTGTCACTTATTCTAGAAATTAAATACCGTCTTACAAAAGTTGAACAATTTGATAATGATTTTAAACTAAAATATGTTTAAGTATTAGAATGATTGATCTTTTAAATACATAGTAAGGGAGAAAAAGTCAGGCAAACATCTGCAAGGTGTCCCTTTTTTACATGAAAAATACACCAAATGTATGTGCCATAAAATTTGCAATGCAAGTATGTAATTATTTTACATAAATATAAATGTCTTGGAAAATATCAACTATTTCTAATACTGACATTTTCCACGTTTGACCTTAACTTTGAGAACCTCCGAAGAAAATATCTGAATGTTGTTTTGTCACGTGCATCCTGCTGTATATGTAGAAACATACTTGATAGATATATTATTGAGTTCTGATAACATTTATGTCATCCGACTTTTTTTAATAAAGCAAGGGCAAAGTTTCTTAAAGGCTTTTTTCTGGGTGCAGTGGTGCTCGTCTGTAACCTTAGCACTTTGGGAGGCTGAGATGGGAGGATCACTTGCATGTAGGAGTTCAAGACCAGCTTGGGAAACATAGGAAGACCCTCTCTTTACAAAAAATAAAAAATTAACTGGGCGTGGTGGTGCGCACCTGTAGTCCTAGCTACTTGGGAGACTGAGGTGGGAGGATAGCTTGATCCCAGGAGGTCACAGCTGCAGTGAGCAGTGATCACGGCACTGCACACCAGTCTGGGTGACAGAGGGAGACCCCGTCTCAAATAAATAAATAAATAATAAAGGTTTTTGAGTCCTGCTGAGAAAAATAACATTTCCTCGATTTGTCATATATTAATGTCAATTTGTCATATGTACATATAATTTATTTGCCAAATTTTCCTCTTCTTTTTGATAAATCATATTTTTAAAAAAGGAGGCCTAATTGTGAAGTATTGTTATTTCAGTATATGCTATAAAATAATAAAATATGCATTATAATGTAAGATACTGAAGTTCACACAAATACCTAAGTAAATTAAAATAATTGCCCACAGTCTGCTTTGATCCTTGGAATCTTTATTTCTATTTCTTATTAATATTCTCAATAATTCTACTATGATGCTACCTCACTTGCTTTATTTAATTTGGGTTCAGAAATCCTCATGGGGTAAACATTCACGGCTTCTGGTTCCCATGCAGCAAAGAGGAAAGGATGAGAATTTGAGTAACTTGCCCATTGGCATCCAGAGAGTTGCCCCCAAAACTAAGCACTGACTGTGCACTCTACTGCTCTAAGCTCTGTGATAAGACTGAGGCCTCTTCTCAAGGAGTTCCTACCTAGGAAGATAAATGCAATGATAAGGGCTGGGCGCAGTGGCTCATGCCCATAATCCCAGCACTTTGGGAGGCTGAGGCAGGCAGATCACCTAAGGTCAGGAGTTCCAGACCAGCCTGGCCAACATGGTGAAACCCCGTCTCTATTAAAAATACAAAAAATTAGCTGGGCATGGTGGAGGGCGCCTGAAATCTCAGCTACTCAGGAGGCTGAGGCAGGAGAATCGCTTGAACCCAGGAGGCAGAGGTTGCAGTGAGCCAAGATCACGCCATTGTACTCCAGCCTGGGCAACAAGAGCAAGACTCCATCTCAAAAACAAACAAAGAAACAACATCAACAACAATGAAAAGATAAGGCATTCTACTTTGTGCAGCATACAGATACACCCAGGGTGCTGTGATAACACAGATAAATTGCGGCCATCCTAGAACGGTGATACAGCTTCAGGGAGGCCAGGGAAGCCCTCCTGGAGGAGGAGACACTTAAACCAGGCCCTGAAGAATAAGTAGAAGTGATCCACGGGAAGTGTGGGCAGAGGCTGTGTCCCTCAGAGGGAGGCATGCCTGAGTACCCAGGGGCAGGACAGAAGATTCTAGAGATGCATGCCGTGGGCTTTGCTGCCCCACTTTGGTGGGTGGTTGGGCAGTGCTGAAGAGAGGTAGCTCTCTGTGGGAGAAAACACGCAGGATTTTTTCTGATTAACTAGACATATCAGCCTCTCTTGGCATCAGTCTCCTCCAGAGAAAAATATTTTTTAGGTTTCAATAAACAGAGCTGAAATTGGCCTATAAGATGCTCTGTTATCTGGCCTCTGGTTACCCCTTCATTGCCTGTGTATACCCCTGTTCACTCTGCTTGAGTCATACACCATCAAACACATCATCCTGTTTCAGTCAGCCTTGGGCCTTTGCACCTGATGTTGCCTTTGCCTAGAATTCTGCCCCTCTAGAATATTTCATAGTTTCTTTCTTTCTTTCTTTCTTTCTTTCTTTCTTTCTTTCTTTCTTCTCAATCCAAGCGTCATCATCTTATAAAGATTTTCTCTGGTTACGTCCTTGAAGTATCCCTCCCTCCAAGTTACTTTCTATTTCATTATCCTGTTTCATTGCCTTACTTATCACTCAGATTATTTAATTCCTTACATACAGGTTTATCATCATCTTAGTTCACATTATCCATGTGAACTCCACAAGGTCAAGACACTTGTCTCTCTTAAGCTCACTGTGTCCCAGTAATTTGGAGAGCTCCTGGCACATAGTGGGCACTCAGTATAGGTCCATTCTATCAGTTAATTCTCTAGCTAGGCCCATTCACACTTTATGAATTTTTTTTTTTTTTTTTTTTGAGTTGCAGTTTTGCTCTCATTGCCCAGGATGGAGTGCAGTGGCGCGATCTTGGCTCACTGCAACCTTACCTCCTGGGATCAGGCAATTCTCCTGCCTCAGCCTCCTGAGTAGCTGGGATTACAGGCACCTGCCACCACGGCTAGCTAATTTTTTGTGTGTGTTTTCAGTAGAGACTGGTGTTTCACTATGTTGGCCAGGCTGATCTCGAACTCCTGACCTCAGGTGAGCCACCTGCCTCGGCATCCCAAAGTGCTGGGATTACAGGCATGAGCCACCGTGCCTGGCCACTTTATGAATATTCTTGGAGCCGAACCAAATTGCCAGCCATAAGGAGGTAGTCATAGAAAGCCCCTTAAAGTTAAAATATGAGTATTGACGTAGATTTTCAAATATAATTTTATTTTTATAAAATACAACATTTTATGATACTGTATTTCTGACTTAAGCAACCTCAACATACAAAAATTCAGGTCGTTAGCACAAATACATCGGGGAGTCATTATTTGTGTTTCCAAGGGAGTCCCTACAGAAAACCAAATCAGTTTTCCTACTTTATCACAATCATTATCCAATGGACTCACAGTTTTGGGGTGTTCATAAAGTGAGGAACACAAGGGGAGCACTCACCACAGTTCTCTTCGTCTGCCCCGTTCCCACAGTCATCCTCGCCATCACAGTGGAAAGCTCGGGGCAAGCACTTGGTAAGATTCCCACAGGGAAAATATCCTTTTTGGCATGAAGGAGTGATCATGCTAGCTTGAGTCAGTGCAAAATCTACATGAAAGAGGGGCAAAAAAAAAAGTGTTACCATGGCCAAGCTCTCTCTGTGTTATCCCATTTAATTTTCACAAGAACTATATGAGTTGAGTTCATCTGGTGTTATTCTTAGTGCACAATTTCTTTGAATAATATTCTTAATGACAACTTTATTTTTTATTTTTAGACGGAGTCTCACTCTGTTGCCAGGCTGGAGTGCACGATCTCAGCTCACTGCAACCTCTGCCTCCCAAATTCAAGCAATTCTTCTGCCTCAGCCTCCTGAGTAGCTGGAATTACATATGTGCACCACCACGCCCGGCTAATTTTTGTATTTTTAGTAGAGACGGGGTTTCACCATGTTGGCCAGGCTGGTCTCAAACTCCTGACCAGCCCATCTTGGCCTCCCAAAGTGCTGAGATTACAGGTGTGAGCCACCTCGCCCGGCCAATGATAACATTTTAAACAGCCATAATCACACCGAATACCAGCTATATCAAGAACAGAATCAGGGTTCATTTTGAATTCACTTCCACAAGGTAATCATAAACAAAACCAGATGTATTGTCCTAGTTTTGTATGGAATCAAGGAGTCATCCACCCTTGAAAACAGAAAGGTAAAACCATGAGCTAATAGGGTCAAATGGGTAGATTTATTTACTTGTTAATCTTTTACAAGAAAGATTTGAGGTGACATGATAAAGATATACCTGCAAAAGGAGAGTTTAAGTGTGAGTTAGAGAGAAATCCAGAAACACATTAGAATGAGGGAAACTAGGATTGAACATTGAACACTCATCTATGGTGTCTACTGGGTCTACTGTTTGCCAGACACTTCACACAGTGGTTATCATTGTTAATCTTTCAGCCAGCCTATGGTATGGGCGATATTATCCTTCATGTTTTGGGATTAGGGAAGTTAAATATCTTGCGTGCAGTGGTTCATCTGGGAAGTGACACAGAGTGGCTTTGAATCGTCCCTCTGACTGCGTAGGCCCACCCTTAGCCATTGTACTAGGAGACTATCAATCAATTTAGGAATCTGCATTTCAAGGAGCATAAATCGGGACTAGTTAAAAACAATCTTCTGGTGCAGGGTACATAAGAGAAGACCAATGAGAGTTGAATAACTGCTGGGTTGAATAAGAAATTAAAGAAAGGAAATATAATTGACATTTACAAAAGTATTATATCTATAGATAGGATGACCAAAACAATTCTAGCAATTTAGATGTAAGAGATATTCTTTCAATTTTGAGAGAATACTTTTCAGAAAATAAAGAGATATGTTCGTAAGTTGGCTAATAAAATTACGGAAGTCATGTATTTTTAAAAAAGGAGTTCTGTCCAGGTGCAGTAACTCACGCCTATAATCCCGGCACTTTGAGGCCGAGGTGGGGAAATCACTTGAGGCCAGCAGTTTGAGACCAGCCTGGCCAACATGGTGAAACCCCATCTCTACTGAAAATAAAAAAATTAGTCAGACATGGTGGCATATACTTACAGTCCTAGCTACTCAGGAGGCGGAGGCAGAAGAGTTGCTTGAACTTGGGGCACTGAGGTTACTGTGAGCCAAGATGGCACCACTGCACTCCAGCCTGGGCGACAGAGCTTGACTCAGTCTCAAAAAAAAAAAAAATTGGAACTTCACAGAAATTGATTTAAGGAGAGTGTAGACACAAGAATGGCTATAGGTTGGCATGATTCATTGAAGGGAGCAAGGGATGTGGGCAAAGTGCTCCTAACCACGCCACTGAAGGCTGGCATCATGACCTGGGATTCCCTTGGGTTTGTGTGGGAGACGATATTTTTAACATAGCAGAAGGATAAGGAACAAACTTTAATAGGAACATCATCTACTTTGTGCTGGGCATTTCCTAGATACTTGATTTGATGTTAATGGCAACTGTGTACAGTTGGCATTAATATCCCCAAATAAAGATGAGGAAATGACTGAGAACACGAAGGCACGTCTACTTTGATTGCTGGGAAAATGCCCTTGTGAGGCCTGAGCCCTCCAAGCAAATGCTGCCTTGTAGAGAGACGTGTTCCCCTGAGGCCCCTCAGGAGACTCTCTAAAGGAGGTAGAACCTGCTGCTCTCATTAACAAAGATGTCATTTGTTAAAGGGCAGGAGTTGGAGTTTAGGCACTAAAGCTACGTCTGAATTACAAGTGCACATTAAGCTTTCAGTGATAGATATATTCAGCTTGATCGTAGGATGGGAGAAGAAGAAAAGAGAGCGGGCGGTGGTCAGTGTATCAGCATTGGAGGCGAGGGATCAAGTAGATCGACCATGACTTCACTAAAAAAAAAAATTAGCCCGGTGTGCCTGTAGTCCAGCTATGGAGCTGACAGGAGAATGGCCGGAGGAGCTGCATGACCAATGGCACTGCACTCCACGGCAAGCAAGCAAAAAAAAAAAAAAAAAAAAAAAAAGAAAAGCAGAGCCTCTGGCCCTCTCTGGGGGCAGCCGGGTATGCTGGTGCACACTCTTGGAGGCTGGTGTGGCCACAACCTCTGGGTCTTTTCTGACTGAGGAGGAAGACTCAGAGCGTGGCTTTTGGATGTTTTCCTGCTCGTTGGCGTTTTGTTCTTACAAAAGCAAAAATTATTGTCTCGCTGTTGCTGCAGTAGTGGATGAAAGATTTACTCTCGGCAGCTAGGCATAAGACCAGTCAAATCTGTGACTACTTTAGGAAGACTTCTCCGCTCCTTGGCACTGGGGTTGGCTTGTTAAGCCTGTTCACGCAGGGAGAGGCATACTGAGTCACAGATTTTAAAATCCCTCAACTTCTTGCTTGTAAAGATTTCTGTAGGAGGCAGATTTATAAAAATGAGTAGTCCTCCTGTGTTTGGAACATGAATGAGAGAGAGAGTCAATATATCTACGTGTAGTGGCTTAGAAATTTTTTTAAGACAGTAATTTACAGTTAGAAATGTATTTTATATCACAGTCCAGCATACACGCAGCCATAACCACACTCCCAACACACACCTACACCCGCACACTCACTCTCACACCCACACACACTAGCACACACCCACGCACCCTCATCCCACAGCCACACCCACATCCACGTAATGAAAAAAATTTTCCTGAAATATCACTCTTTTAAAGTTATGTGGGATGAGCTTTGATCCTTGCTATTCTATCTTATTCAGTTGAGAAGGGATCACATGCCTCTCAGTTGATTTCATGATCCCCTAATGGGATGTGACCTACTATTTAAACACATTCGTTAGTGATAATGCACCTCAGAGACACTCAAACCTGGATTACAATTCTCTCTGCCACTCACTAGCCATGTGACCTTGAGCAGGCTACTTAACCTCTTTAAATCTTAGTTTCCTCACATTTAAAATAGAATTAATGAGAACATCTCCCTTGTGGGTGTGTTTCGGGGACAGACAAGCTGATGCGTATGAAGTGGGGAGAGCGCCTGGCCCATAGTAACCCTGGGTTAATGTCGGCACACAGGCAATTTCCATATAAGGTAAGAAAACAGAATGTTAAGAAGGAAGCTCTATGTAAAATGGAAGCTTGCTGTGCCTCAGCATTTCAAGATTTTTTATGTGACTTCTCTGAAAGATAGTGACCAAAATAAAAGCTTCCCCTACTTCTTTATGTTATTCCATCTTAAAAGCCATATCACATGTATGATTTTTATTTTATTTCAAATCTCTTTTGAAAGCTGAAGGAGGACTGTAAATGATAAATAACCAAGGAAAATGTCCTTACAGCCTCCTAACAATATTTTCTTAATGTTTAGAAGAAGCGATTAAGCATTCAATTAAAGAGAATTTTGAAATAGAGAGGTGAGGCGATGTGAGTAGGATCCTTTGAAGGTGGCATGTGGTGTTTCCTTCCAGGATTTATTATAAAAATAGCTGTGAGTTGTGTTTTCTTGTTTTTTGTTTTTGTTTTGTTTTTTTTCTTCTTGAGATGAAGTCTTGCTCTGTCACCTGGCTGGAGTGCAGTGGCACAATCTTGGCTCACTGACACCTCCGCCTCCCGAGCTCAAGCAATTCTCCTGTCTCATCCTCCCCAGTAGCTGGGACTACAGACTCACACCACCACACCTGGCTAAGTTTTGTATTTTTGGTAGAGATGAAGTTTCACCATATTGGTCAGGCTGGTCTCGAACTCTTGACCTCAAATGATCCACCCGCTTTGGCCTCCCAAAGTGCTGGGATTGCAGGCATGAGCCACTGTGCCCGGCTGACTGTGAGTTCTTTGAGGGCTGGACCTAACTAAATGCCCATCTCACATATTCAGAAAGTCTAGGTGACAGGGGCAAACAAGCAATCAACTGTCACAAATAAAAGGCGTCAAGATGGTTTCCTTTTTCCTAGAAAAAAAATTGAGTTGCATCTAGCAAGTGTGGACAAAGAAGGGGAGGAAGAGACTGAACATGTATGAATAGAACCTGCCAACTGCATTTCTCGTAATTCCGTTTTCCACCCGAGTGGCATCTTCCTGAAGACATTTCAAAACACAAATGTTTTATATATAAGGAGAATAAATGAATACAATGTATTCCCCACCCTTTTCCCTCTGTGACCTCTATCTCTATTGTCTAACTTAGTGTCTTACTTGGTGCTCAGTAATTTTTTAAATGAACATGTGAATTCATGAGCCATTTAGAAATTTAAAAAAAGGAATTGAAGGAAGAACCCTTTTCAAAATTTAAGCTTCCCAAGGCAGCAGATTTAGGCTGTTATTCTGATGAGAAAATATTGTTTAGTCTTTCATGCACTTCATTTATCATTCCGCTCTGTCATTATACAAATTAAATAATAATTAGAACCCCTGCTGTACTTGGTACATAGTGAAAAAAGCATCACTAGCTATCTGTAGAAAGTGTATTCTGTTGTCTGTTCTTCCTGCCATCTGTGGAAGTGGGAAGAGACAGCTTTTATTGAAGCCTGGGGATTGTAAAAATGGAGGATGCCTGCATCACAGCAGTGCTGATGGCTTCTGCAGCGGTTTCCATGGGACCCCTGCCAAACACACAG